TCTACATTTTCACTGATCATCATTCTGATCATATCCTAATGGTTTGCGTGACCAACCAAAAGTGGAAACCATTAAAGGTAGAAAAGGTAGAAATCCTCAGCGATAGATAATTCTCATTGATCCGTACTTCTTATAGTTAAAAAAGAAGGCAAATTTATTAGACTTATAAATATATCTGAACAAAATAACTTTTAATATATATTTATATCTCGAGAGCAGAACTGACAAATCTTCCAATTCGAAAAAGGAAATAATAAAGTGGTAGTTGAAAAGGATTTGACGATACTAAAAAAGGGGATTAGAATAATTAATAAGATTTATCAACGAATAATTTGTATTGTTTCTATGGAGAAATCTGTTCATCGATCTCTCAATAAATTTTCTGTTCATATTTTTCATGAAAATAAGAGCGCATCAAATATTTTTCCTTACATTTCATTAAAAATGATCCCTTTAGAATTTTCATACTTTTTCAACAAATTGTTTTATTTCAATCTTTCTAAATTTGCACGTGAAAAATAAAAATTTTTATTTGCCTTATGGCATGATATAAAAATAATTTTCAGCAAAAATTCTTGTTTTCCAAGTTTCTTTTCAGTTATGATCCATTATGTTTCATTTTATTTTATTTTATTTAGTGAAAATTGGATTTGATTAACAGTGAATAGAACAGAAATCTTATGGAAAATCAATGAGATCCGATTAATCTTGCAGTTTATTTGAAATGACAATAGGCTTGCAATACGCGAGGTCATTTGGAGCCCAAATCCTTTGCGGCAACGCTTAATAAATTCATAAACCATAAGGTTTAGATGTATTTTATTTGCTATAAACTGTTCATTGATTCAAGGAAGTTAATAATTTTATATTCATTAACAATTGAGTTAATATTAGAAATAATAAAAAGAGATATATTGTATGAAATTAATACAAAACTAACCAGTCTATTTTTTATTCCAATTTTGCCATGGCAAAGCAGTTCATTCTTAACAATTATCTATGTGAGGAACAAAATATAAAGCAATATTATGATAAAACTAGTTGTGACGGTAACAGCTATAACGACTTATCGAGCAGAATGCGGGATTTATCCGAGATTTCCATCTTTCTCGCTTAATTATTTTAAAATTAAATTTATATTTTATATTTTTCATATTATAACAAGAAAAAAAGGATAAAAATGATAGAATTTCATCATCAATAGAGTTTCACTTTCAGTAATATTAATTCAAATATTAATTAAACAATTAAGCTTAAGATTCATCGTCTAAGATTCATCGTTTTTTCCAGAAGACTGCTAGTTTTAAAATTAAAAATTATGAACAATTAATATAGATTTCTAAAGCAAATTTTTTCCGCACCAGAAATTCTTAATCAGGATTATAAATAATTAGGGAAACGAGAGAAATGTTAAATATAGAAAATAGGAAACTATCCGACCATTCAATTTTGGGAAGATGTCTCATTTTGAAATTTGACACCAGTGCTTTAAATAATGAACCAATACTTGAACACCTGCAAAATGCAATTTATATAATTTGCAAGTTCTATTGAGTCAAATCTTTTTAGAAAAAAAGTTTCGCTACTGACCAATTATTCGTGCAAAATTTTTATAGTTGCAAAAAAGGAACTATGAGGAATAGATTTTTTTTTCTAGTAGCCTGCACGATTTCTGGTTTGTCTTACTCCATCGGCGAGCTTCCAAGGCTTCCATCTCTGCGCTATTCCTGAAAGTAACTGGGGCCATTCTTTTTTCCATTTTTTAAGCCCATATATCACTGGGACATCTGTTTATTCAAAATCTCCTCTGTCTCATTTCCATTCCAGATCTTAATTTGTCATCCATTACAGTTTAGCATTTAGTGAGATGCGCGTAAATTCTTGTGGTGGACAACGAAAAACTTGGTTAAACTAGTGCAAATATCACTTTGTGACATTCTTTTTGCAGATGGTAATCGAGCGAACATGGATGTAATCATGTGAAGGTTATAGGATATACTTTAGGCAAGAGTGGCCAAATGCAAATAGCTTTCTCAAACTACCGGTATTTCAAAACTTTATGTTGTGTTAATTCCCCCTATACATGCGCACTGACATACGCTGATAAAATGCTTTGATAAGACATTTGGCATTAACTTCTCTTGAACACCATCTTGTTAATCTAATCAAAAGCAGTGAAACATGGTAGATTACCTGATATTTGAAATGATGTTCCAGTACTTTTCTCAGTAGTTTTGTGAAAGTTTTATCATTACAACCATGTTCTGGGATAACTCAGCTTGGTTAGGGCGCATATACATTGCAGTTCGGCGGAAGAGCGGCAAAAAAACTTTCCTACATCTAACAAGTTCCTTGATAGTTGTCGCAGTAAATCCTATCACTTTTCTTTGGAACTGGGAGCAGGAATATCTTGCTCCACTCAAATGGCGTTTACTCGTCTCACATTAATGAATCTTTGCAAACATGTTGCGGAAGTTGTGCAACATCTGAAAATACAATATACCATGTTTTCCTGGAATTTTATTACACTGAAGTTTGTGAATTAAAAAGATTGTCTCGTGCTTGGTTGATGGTTCATAATTATATGCATTTGCCTCTAAATGCAATTCAGTCATGTCGTGGATGTTGAATAGTCTGTCCTAGCTTAGATTCAAAGAAGTTTGTCCATCGGGTGAAATGATCTTTCATAGTCTTAATGGGACTTCTATCCTTATCTCAAATTATTTCACTGGCCATTTCTCGAGATCCAATTTTTTTGCGACGTGCTTAATAATATTTTATGATCGTCTACAATCTTCATATTCAAAGTCATGCGCAGTATCAATTTTGGTCCCACCGCGCCGCAACTGTTGGTAGTCTACGAAGCTGCCGATAGCTAGAATCTTTTGGGCAGCTGGGCCCTTTCATCTGAGACCTAGCTTGCTTTCTGTCAAGCAACTTAGAGCGAATCTAGCTAATCTCTGGAGACAGAACTTTAACTATGGTTAGTACTCCTCGGCAGCCAGAAGAGTGAACGTTAAATGAGTCAAAAATTTTGGAGGACTATATTTTCCGCGTTGTCAATTTCATTTATATCTTTCTTTGCTCTAATAGCAATATGGACAATATCCTAGAACTTTCCAGTTTCGGCTGTACAATCTACGCGTCTGTACTATCCAGTACAGAACCCTTCCATCTGTAATTAGATTTAACCAATTTGATTGTCTGGCGAGTTTCATAACTATCTGTTTTCTACAATGCTATATTGACGAAAAATTAAATTTAAAGTCTAAATCCGAAATGAGAAAAAATTATAATATGTTTTATCTACTTTGAACTCTTTTTTTCAAATTTATTCTTAAATTAAAATTTTGGAAAAAGGCGAAGTCATTTTTGAGATTATTCGTGCTACAAAAGTTGGCCAACATTTGTGAAATGTTGATTCAGCATTTAGATCTTTTGTGATTTTGATTTTCTGTATTCTGATATGAATCCATATTTGGCAAAAAATCTTAATATAACGGAAAAGAGTTCTCTGTTGATAAACCCCATGCAGACCACAAATGATAATGGAACTCTCACGCTCTTAGCGCACATATTCCAATCATCTACGATTATAGTTAGGTTATTTTTCGCAACAGATGCTGAGAAGCTCGACATATAATTCGTCTCTAGATCATTACGTACAAATATAAGCTGATGACCATAATGTCGCAAAACATCTTTAAAACAGGCATGGACCAATAGATTAAAGGGTTCAGGAATTGAAGCTGGTTGTACATTTTCGGACAGAACAGTCGTGGCTCAGTTTTTAGCCAAATTATCCGAAAGACCACCGTGATCATCACCAGTTCTTATTCGAACCAGGTAATCACTGGTCTAAATCCAGAATCAAGAAGACGGACTTTCGATAGGTGAATGAATCCAGAATCAAGAAGATGGACTTTCGATACATTCAATATTTGGATACGGTATGAATGGTTATTGCTTGGCTCCTAATTCAATACCCATAAGCATTCCTCGCAGCGACGGCCAAGATCTCATCACAGAACCAGTTAACAATATGTTATTTTATTTTTATGATTTCTTCATATTTTTCATTTGGCTGAAAATCCATTATTATAAAATCACAGAAATGAGCTCAAGCTAATTAGACTTTATGAAGCTAACAAATTTAAATTTCATTTTTTCTTTTAGATTTAAATGGACACCCTATTTCTTAGTTCATCTCTAAGACTTGAAACTGAAGTAAAAGTTTGCTATCTTCTTATATAATTCTTTTCAACATTGCAAATGGATAAAAAAATATGATAGGTAATGTGAAATAAAATTTTTTGCAAAAGTTAAATAAATTAAATAAAAAAAATTAGGAAATATGGTTTAGTAATATAGTTTCATCTTTTTTATATGTTAAAAATATTTATAATTGTAATAATTTTTGAAAAATTAATTAATATCTTCAAAGGAATTGAACTATTATTGTTGCACATGCATTTTTTCATTAAAGTGCTGAGAAAATATTTTGATTTGTTTTAAAAATTTTTAATTTTCAACAAGTGTAGTTAGTAGGTTTATAATTTTTTAAACTTGAAAAAAATTTGCAATTTTTCGAATAGAACGGTGAATTAAGTTAGGTTGCACCTATATCTTTATAGCAAGAAACCAAGAAGCATTTTCAGACCAAAATGCAAATTTTTTCTTTAAAGTAATTTGATAATGGATCTGGTCTAATTGCAAGATATCACCAATTCCTAGAGATATTTTCAATTTTCAGCAAGACTAATGTGGAAAATATGCTGAAAAAATTGTGAAATAGGAATAAAAAATTCAGAATTTCTCAGAAATGCTAGAAGAAAAAATTATGAAAAAGATGGAAAAGCTGCACAATAGCAGTAAAACTTGATTAAAATTTTTCAAATCTTAATATTTTTTTGATATTTTTTGATGTTTGAGCCAATATTAATGCTTTTTTTAGTTTTCGAAGTGTACAAAGTCGACCCATCGACATAAATGCCGAAAAAATGGATTCTTTGGTGATACATTGTCCAACATATAATGATTCAATGCCAAAAAATAAAACCGAGCGGATGATTATTTACAGGGTGAAATTATTTTTTTTGTTCACCAAATCTTTGTTTTTTTATATGACTTTTAATGAGAAAATAGTCGAAATCAGCAAATGATTTACTACTGTGAATGACCAAGAATTGCCAGGTTTGCATGAATTGCAATTATGCTATGATATGATGATATGATTAGTGGCAAGATAATTGCCACCGAGAATTGAGTTCGAATTCGCCGACGCACCACTCTTTATCAGTCGGCGCTAATGGAGAAAAGCAAAAAGGAGAGTAGAATGGCTCAGTAGCTTATTACTCAGTTCGGAGCGATTCATTTTTGAAGCGATCCGATTCAGAAGTTCTAATCCCGACAGGATTAAACCTATCCGAAAATCTCGGTGATGCTGGCGACCTGTACTTCTGTCGCCAAGAGACTCCTTGTTCAGACAAGCTAGCGGAACGAGTCTAACCAGTAATGGTGAATACTCTTTAAAAAGATTGCAATATCTGTAATTGTAATACTGTTTCGACTAAGGTCAGATCAACGGGCCATCTAATTCTCTCACTAAAATTGCGTAATTCTGTGCGTAATTCTCTCACTAAAATTAAAATTAAATTAAATGCTGCGAACCCAATTCTCGAAGTGTACCTCTTGCTAAATGGATTTAGTATAGGCATTTAACATCTGCGTTTTAGCCCTTTCTATGATAAAATCTGTAATTTGGATAATTCATAGAAAATGATTAAAAATCAAGTGTTTTGAGCATTTTGAGCTGTAAAGAATGAATAAATGTTGGCGATTGTTTTAGAAATTTTTACTGAATTCTTCACGACCTTATTATGTATTACATGGTTAAACTGCTATTAGTTATCAACTCAAAAAGCCATTATACTTACCAAATTCGTCGTGCATATTCTATTTGTTGCAAATTTGTGTTGAAATTCAGCTATGTTGAGAAATATAAATTATTGTTTCAAATAAAAATTTTTAGGTATCAAGATTCGGTTACGACAACTGTGTATTAGATGAAACGGCACAGATAGTCGGTCGTTGCAATAATCCACATATTCCGATTACGATAAAGATAGTTTTTCGCGAATTCACTCCTTTACCCTCTGGACTTGAATATTCTCCTGGAACCACATATTTTTTCATATGTAAATTTAAAATAATCATATCAGTAGAACGTATTATTGACACATTATTTTCACTGTGAGCCAGTAACTGATTGTTAATTAAGTCATTTATCATCATCTCATAGAAATGCTCTATCTTACTAATAAAAAAAGACGATAATTAAATTAACGCCTAATGAAAATTTTTTACCAGCTACATCAACCGGTAATGAACAAGGAATTGACCAAATCGCCGGAGGTTTATGCTTTTTAAAACAAATGCGACTAAGAATTCACATACATCCAACCAGCAAAAAAGGTTTCCATCAATATTTCATTGTTCGAGAGAATTTTTAGATTCAAATGTTCTAAGTAATCATTGTCTTTGAAAAAATTATGAAATTTTATTTCAATTGCTTATTTACGTGAATATCGCCATCATATTTAAATGAAGTTCCATTTTCGATAATTTTTAACAAAGCTGCACGATGCATTAACAAAATAATGCATGGAAAATTGCGAAACTGTTGCGTAAAGTCAAAAGTGGCTATTGCTTAGATTATCGTTTGGAGCACCATTTTTTGGCTCTTAGCGCCACAAGATTAAAATTATCATTAAAAAATTCGAGTATTGTTGTTACTAAAGAAATGCATTTCCATCCAAATAGATCCCTAGTAAAATTTTCTCATTACATTTAGTGGATCAAGCTTAACTAGAAATAGAAAGGGCTAATCTTATTTGCTTGGAGCAAATGATTCTTTATGATCTGTTACATGTATACTTCTCGAAATTTTGTCTCTATACGATAAATGATTAAATCAAATTTTTTAAGCTTAAAACATAGGGTGATATTAAAGCAGATTTTAGGGTGAATTCAAATTTTTATGATATCCATCGTTAATTGACAAATAAAAAATTTGCCTTTCCTATAATCCATCCGGGCTGTACACAGATTTGTAGGAGTCTTGGGTGAATAGCTGTTTCTCAATTTATGTGGATGAAGTTCTTTTATCTAACTATAGTTTTTTCATTGATACCTAGAACTGAATTGAATTGTTTATTCCCACATTGATTCCTACCAGCAGTTATCATCCATATTTCTGTTTTCAACTTGTTTCTTAGTAAATGTGCATTTGATATGCGCATTTAGCAGACTTCATCCCTTTTTTTTTGTTTCACACGTATCTTTATAGATCAACGGCGACATCGTCATCATGGCGTAAAGAATTCTAAAGATATAATAACGACGACAGTTTTACCAAAATACTGGAACGAATTCTTAAATAAATTGCGACCAAAAGATTCATTATGGAATAATAAAAATAGCGCAAAGAATCATTTCGGCGAAGCTTTAACGCTCGACATGAGTTTCGCTGATAATAGTGCACTAACTTATGAACGAGATGATGCGATAAGTGAAGCACTTCGCTTCAATCCGAATATTAAACTTTATGAGATACATGAGACTGATGACTGTAAGTAAATTTATATTTTTCCTACCGAGAGAACTCAAAACCAATTTTTTTGTAGTATTCATATGCAAAAGCTTTAGTTATATCGATCAAGGAAAATGGTTTTTTTATATGGTTTCACTTCCTTCTCAATCTTCCTGCAAATTATGAATTCTTAGGTATTGAGATATTGGCATTTAAGAAAAAATTCAGAGCTTTACAATTTTTCTTAAAAGTCTTTTCGAGCCAGAAAATTTGATAATAAACTAAACTATAGGATTGTGCGCTATAAGATTTTAAGAAATTCACAATTCGAATTTTTTTCGGATAATTCATTCGGGTTCGGTAGTTACTGGTAGTCATAATATTGATGGTTCCGATGATATTTAAATTTCACTTTTATTTCTATCGTCAAAAGATAAAAATTTCTGACCATATGACCAGAAATGATAAGCACTAACCATTTGATAAGTCTTTGGTCATTTTAATCATCATTTTTTTTTCAGATAACTCAGCTTCATCATTCGTATCAACGAACAAAAAAATATTTTTTTTCTTCATAGCATTAACAACCGTTATTATACTTGTGATTTCATGATCACTGATGAATATTTTTAAGCAAACAAGATGGAAAATCATGTGATCTCTCACGAAAGTGACCAATTCTAAAAGATCTGATAATTGCAAATTTCGCTGTTTTAAAATACGGGTAAAATAATGATTAATTATTATTTTCAGTTATCTAAATGCTATGTAAATATTGATAATCTAAATTCCATCAACAAATTTCATTGGATAATTTGGTCGATTTTTAAAAATTTTTTATTTTTCTACTATTATTGTCAAAAAAATTCAAAAAGGAAATAATTTTAAGGGATTTCGATTCGAATTTTAAAGGTGCACTAAATTTTAAAAACAAATGAAAAAAATAATGAAATATGAGAAATAAGATAATTAATAAATTTATTAAAGTGCCTACTATAATATCTTATATTTTTATTTTTTTATCTGTGCATATTTGTATTATAAATAATTTCCTCAATAAATTTTTCGACATTTTTCAAAATTCTACAATTAAATATCGACCACTGTATTGACTGGTTGATTGGCAATTTGTTTTAATGCTTCTTAATGCTTCTGAAGATAAAAGTTTGGCCGATCATAAAACGAAGGAATATAAGATGGTTTATAATGGAATATGAAAGTCTCATGTTGTTATCATATCAAAATGAAAAAGGTTAAATGCTATCCCTTGAAAATTTTGTAAAAAATGATTTCATCTTTTGCAAAATAAAAAAGCCAAACAAATTATTTTCCGATCTAAATACATCAGATGTTTGCATAGAAATAGTATTTATTAATTCGTTTAAATTTTCCGTCAGATTTAGTTTGTTAAATCAGGTCAAAGTTGTTATAAGAAAAGAAAAGTAAAGATTATACTCATAATAAAGTTGGCGAATGTATTCCATTCTTTCAAACCATAAAAATAAATGCTTTATATATTCAATAATTGTTGAATTGTTGAACAATTGTTGAAAGGAGCTTTGATAAAGGAAATTTTTGATGGTTTTTATCATGAATTATCATTTAGTATCATGAATTGAAAAAAAAGAAAATATCTAATTCTACAGGCAGTCTAATTCTAAATTCAAGTGAGAAATTTTTGCTAAGATTTCGCTTGGGTTGGCAGAGCATAAATGCCATCATCACCACTAGAATTTTTTAATGGCTTGCTCCTATCGAGAGTACCTTTGACTCTCAAGCGGCAATTTTTATTTTTATCCCTGCTCCCATAAAGTACATAGATTATAGGCATCACATGCTGATTTTTCCATCAAGTTACTTCATTAATTCTGGTCCTTGCTTTTGAAAAAAAAAGTCAAAAGAGGTTTTTTTAATAAAATTTTAAAAGCTTATTATTTCAGGAATGATCTTCAGTAAGACTTCTTTTAAAATTTGGTATTAATTAAATCGTTACTTTTTTTTAAAAGAATTTTAGTCATTTCTAATTTAACTGGCTGCTTAGATTCGCTAGAGGGTAATTTGAGAAAAAACTAACTGCAAATGAATGCTTGGCGCCTGGATTCAATTTCGATCAAAGGTTTTTCAAAGGTTATTCTTGTACAAGGATAGGAATCGAGCTTCTTATATTGATCTAAGTCAAAGCAGCAAAATTGCTGAGATATATTTAAATCCATTATATAACCAAAATTTTCGTTCGGAATGCAGCAACAAATTCCTTTAATCATTATAAATAATCATTTCCTTCATTCGCCTTATTTCGCACTCAGTCAATCATACATATATAATAAATATTGTCGAATGAATGTACGCATCTTTCTGTGTCATCGTCGTCTTTTTGTGCCATCCTCCATCCTTCATTTTATGTGAACCTGAATTTCAAAAAATATGTTTGGTATTTGAAAAAAAGTTTTGCCATTATTTATTTTGTTATTTTTGAAAAATCTATTTTATTTTATCGCAAAAATCATATGCAATCTGTTTTTTGGGCAAATTTTCCGAAATTAAAAATTTCAATGAGAATTTCGCTAAGAAGTACTTTTTTATGCAAGAATAATAATAATCTCTTTATAATCATGGGTCGAACTTTAAAATCTGAAGCAAATTTCAGGTACCAAGCTATTTCACTTTATTTATTTATGGTGTACTTACGACCATCAACTTTATTTTTATCCTTTATTTTGACTAGCCAGTTTAATAATATCCAATCTGTTCCAGATCACGACAAATATTTGTATACTAATGGTGGTATAAGGTTTCATTTGTTTTGTTTTGTATGAATCTAGTTTCATTTATTAGCATTACGAGGTAAAAATTATAAATTTTTAGAATAATCAATGTATTATCCATAGTTGATTTAAATCTACGAGCAAGCACGATTGCTTAATTGTTTAAAATAATTTAAGCAAATAAAATTGTCAGATATAAATGTGTGGAGGAGTACACAACCAGTGATGATGATGGCAACCCTGTTGAAGAAGACGATTTTTTATATTTTTACGGTAATATACCAAAAGGCTGGAATGAAAATGAGAAGGCTAAAACGCGCAAAAGATTTTTAAAAAATATGGACGATAAGCCAAAGTATAGTGTTAATGATAACTTTTGGCTTGATTACAATTAAAAATAACAAAATAAATTGAGCGAATATTATCCTAATTGAATAAGAAACGATGGAGAAATCAACAACTTTAATATGAATAAATGAATAAAGTATGAATGTGAATTTTTTGTGAAATTATTAGTTTAATACTATTATTATTATTAAAAATTTAATAATTAATAATTAATTAATAACTTAATAACTTAAAAACTTTTTAATAACTTAAAAAATTTAATAAATTTAATAAGATTTATCTATAAGATGGTATAACGATGAAAATGCCTACCGAAAGAATTGGAAACAATTATTAAAGAAACAAACTCCACCATTCGAAGTGAGCCAAGCAAGCTGAATTACTTTTAATTTTGCATTAGCCCTTCCGACAAGCTTTGGCAGAACTTTGTTAAACATCTCAGTTTGTCGCCTAAATTGGGAATAGTTTTTGCCAGTTCTTTTAATTCTTTCTTATTTTGTAAATTGCTTTTACCTATTTATCTGTTATTATCTGATTATTAATACTTCAAGTCGATGATGAATTAATAACCTCCGTTATAAAGGTGAATTATTTAATATATCTTAAAGATAAACAGAGATTCCTTATGGCCACAAATCCTTTCAAGCATCAATCATCTAATTCAGTTTTGTTGAAACGCTATTATGCGATAAATATTGAGCCCATACCAGTTCATTAATTGATTTATTTAATTAATTAATTCAGTTTATATATGATGAAGTTTCGAACCAGTATGATAATCCAAAGCAATCTTGGAAATTGCAGAAATTCATCAGTAAAAATAAATTAGGTAATAAATAAATAACTTGCAATTAATTTTTTAATCATTGGAAAAATTTATGAACGAGAATACTATCAATTTTTTTCATTGATTGTGAATTTCCAATGTCCGATTTTCATAATTTGATCATTTGAGAGATACACTCATTTTAGTTCAGATCATTGAAGATTATAATCGAGATAATTCAATAAAACAGCATTTTTCAATAATTAAAAATATGGACGAAATGGATAAAAAATTAGGTCCAGTTAAAAATGAGAAATGAATTGTTGGTCAATTCCACGCCTTGCAAAAAATAATAAAGACTTTCCTTTTTCTATTGCTCAATTAAGAGTTCTGATGCTGAGGTTCGATTCCTCGCGGGAGTAAACCTGTGCAAAAAAATCTGGGTGTTGCGCTGGCGGACTGGTCATATTGCCCAATGCGACAAGCCAGTGGGGCGAGTTTAACCAGTAATGGTGAGGAAACCATTCTCAGAAAGATTTATCAATTCTAAAATTTTTACAAATTTAGGTAATTTAGAACAGTGTTGTGAGTAGGGAACTTACTTTTTAATGCAATAATTTCATTCCTTAAATAATCTAATGGTTGTCAAAAGAATTAATTACATAAATGAATACTTCAGCCAAAAGTTCTTCAGTAAGCTCATATCTTTACGATGCCATTTTCTCCTAACCTTATTAACCACTCTCCATAAATCACTCCAGTTAGGCTTCATTAGCTATTGGGATAAGAAGGCTTAGAGGTTTTAATTCCATTTTAATGACGAGATTTATTATTAAAACAAATATATCGAACCGAAGATACATTTAAAGCTGCATGCTTCACTGCGAAATTCATTCATGCATTTTGCTTGCATATTTTTAAACTTTTGCAGTATTTTTCTTGAAAAATCAAAAAATATATGCTATAGAGAATTTTTTTTCCACAATTTGATGGTGGCGAATATGCTTTTTGGATATGTCTTGATTTATGTTCAGATCAAATTAATCACAAATTAATCATATATATTAAATTTCGCCAATATTGCAGATTATTTGAAACTCCTTAAACCATATAAACTGGCTCACTGGAAATCACCGGTTTCAAAACTTCCGAAACGAAGATTGCCGGTAAGTCAAGTTTGCCTCCAGATTTAAAGATTTTAATAAGATGAAATATTTCATTTGCCAATTACATGGAAAATAATTCTACGCACAATAGCGAATTAACAAATAGGATGCGAAAACCTGTCCTGCATTGGGTTCAAATTCAATAGATTCAATAGATTATGCTAAGAATTAGTTTCATTTTCAAACATTATCAAGAGGTTTATTTGTTTGATAGTAAAAATAGAATATATGATAAGAATAAAACTAAACATTAATAATCTGACGTTTATTAAAATTTAAAATTTAAAATATTAATTTAATTTGGCTTTTTTGAAGATTCGAATCGTCGAGCGGAATTCAAAAGACGATGAAACTATAGCAAATTTTCCCTTAAAAAACCACTTGAATATAAGAAAATACGATTCACTGAGATTAATTAAAGATGAATTCTTTGCTCCTACAAATTTTCAAAGTCTAAACGGAATAAATTCAACGAATGGCCGTGAAAATGATCAAAAAAGTTATGAATTTATTCAAAACGAAAGTGAAGAAAATCGAGCAAACTGTAAGAAGATAAAAAATTTCACATCGAGCCTAAGAATAAAAGATGTCCAATCTTGGGTTGCAAAGAACTGTTTATTTTTGAAGGTCTATGCGCCGAATACAACCTGCCAACGAATTATTGGCTTTGTTGCTTCGTGCTATGCCTTAAATTGATTATTTATTTTCGGGAATTTTTCGTAAAATTCGGTGGCAGTTTTCAAAGCTTGAAGATTTAATACAGTCAATTAAAAATAAAAATATTCGACGATTTAAACTTCATTTGATATTTATATTTTTAGATAAAAAGTGTGATCTTAATGCTTTGCTTTGTCACAAAAGAATGAGAATGAGAAAAGCACAAGAGAAATTTAATAGTAATCATATTTGTCAAAAAATTCACTGATCATCTGCCTCATTTACTCATCGACCAAAAAGACATTAACATTTATTATTATCATTTATAAAATTATAGCTCACAAATAATTTTTCTTGCGTTTATAAAGTGGCCTTGGAATGAAAAATATTTAAGTGGTTGTTGCTAGGATTTTTGTTTTTAAGGTCAAAGTTCGGACCCTGCAGGGGTGAGCCCTGGCGGTTTTGGCGATCCAGCGGTAACTCTTCCAATGCCAGGTAACTCACTGACAAATTTTAATTTATTTACTTACCACCGAAAATGATCCACAGTTTATAAAATTTTAAGATCCGAGAAACGAAAAAATAATTTTATGAAATTTGAAAACAATTTTGGCACAAAATGGGTTTTTAAATGCAATCAGCGTTATAAATAAAAGTAAAAATAAAAGTAATTCAAATTGAAAACAAATTGAATAATTAATCCGAGCAGCAAAAGTAATTTCATAAAATGCGATCGCCAAAAATTTGAAAACATCGAGCAAATTCAAGGAAATCTCATTTTTCTAGTTTTTTTTTGTTTAAACAAATCTCTTTAAGAGAAAAATCCGATATCTAACAACACCAACGCCAATTCAAGATTTTAGGAAAAGTCTGATTGAAAAAAGTTATTAAAATTCACATATCCAATTCTTAAAGAGTGATTAAGATGATTTAATATTTGCAGTAAAATGTTTAGAATGGATATTGTTTATTGTTCATTATTGTTTGAAAAAAATTCGATGGCGAATTTTTTGCCGCAGTTGTTTAGGCTATTCGCTATCATAATATTTTATTTCCACTGTGAATAGAATTGAATGCAATAATCTTCATATAATATTTAATTAAGCGTATCGTTTAGGCTTATATAATGGTTATAATTCCTCGATAAAACTTATGAAAAGTTGTTATTTTTTAGACAAAACCATTCGTTTCACTTTTATACCATTTTTATCTAATTTAAAATAAAATAACATTCCATTTCAATTTATAAATTTTGAATAAATTGATAAATTTTTATAAAAATTTATTTCTTTTCAATATAGCTGGCAAAAAGAAAATTTTATTTTAATTATTTTTATGTAAGCACTGAATTCCACCGTCTATCTTACATTATAAGGCAAAAATTTCATTCGAACTTGTTGTTGGAATAAAAGTAAAAAAAAACGAACTGATTTGCAGTAAATTTGCTCTAAATTTATTTGCCAATATTTGCCGTTCAAAGAATGCATACTCCAATCCATTCATTTGTATATTTAAGTTTACATCAATGATTTTTTTAAGAAAAAGTGGCTCGAACAAAAGCCAATTGCCAAAGACCTCGAAAAACCTCGCCAGCGCAACGTGAGCGGGCAAATCAACGAGAACGACGACGTATGGCTCTCGTAAATCAGGCATATAGATATCTCGAATCGCAACTGCCAAGATTCAACAGCGAGCAAAAACTAAGCCACATCGAGACCCTCAAGTGATAAAATTTTTTTATTTTTATATTTTGCCCGCCCATTCTAAGACTTTTAGAATAATCAGGCAGGTTAAACATATCTATGCGTCGTGAAAAACACAAAGTATTTATAAAATAAACTATTTAATATAAAATTATTATTTAAATTGCGGAAGAAATACTTATCTAAATCTAAATTAAAAAGGAAAAGCTGTATAATTAAGTTATAATTAAAAATAATTTAATAATTTAAAAAAAATTTTACTTAAATTTTTCTTCAAAAAGCCTGAAACAAATGGAGCAAGAATTTCATGATTAAGTAAGTAAATGGTTAGCGCTACCCATTTCCAGTTAGACTCGTTCCTCTGGTTGCCAATGTGGCTAGAAATCTTTGCAATAGAGGGTGAATAGCAAAAAAGCACAAATGTGTCGGCTGCATCATCTAGGTTTTCCAAGTGCTCCAGGTCTATGGCAAAAGATGAATTCATTTTTCTTGCTATGGTAATTCGAGTTTTATTTAATTTATAAGTATTAAAAGTATTTTTCAGTGTTTATTTCTTATTTGTATGGCATAAAATAATTTTAAAAGCATCATTTCATATCATTTTTAAAAACTCTAATAAATACAAAAATGGGAAAATTTTCAGATTAGCCATCAAATATATAAATTTCATGGTCTATGAATTGTTGTCTCCATCAATCGAAGTGGTTGCAGATGCTATAGAAAGCCAATAAAAAGAATGAATGATATGATTGTATCCAAGTTTGTACTACGATACTATATGTTAAAAAGATTATCAGCCTTTGAAAAAATTCTTCATAATTTTCATTTTCAAAAAATTCTCGATTTGTTTCACTATTCAGGAACGGCAAAAGTGGCACTTATTCGTCTTTTTACCATAATAACGAGTTTTTATTCTTTTTTCACTGTTCCATTCAACTTCGTTAGCTTCCTTTTTATGCAAAAAAATGGCCATGTTCGCTCTTTTGTAGCAGTTTCTATTCACTAATAATGCTCAAAAATGGGCAATTAAACACAAAAATTCTTCAGCTGACTGCAGTTAATAGCCCAACGCGAGAAATGATAGTTTGTTTGTGCATTGTACCTCTACGCCAATTAAACTTAAAATCGTTATGCATTTGTGAATCTTTTATTGTACAATATCTTTCTTAGTTATAAGTTGTGTAAAATGTAGAAAAAGATATACTCAACTTTTTTTGATAAAATTAAAACTATTCAAGGAAGAAAAGCAGCAACAATTCATTGTGGCCTAAATGAAATTGGTTTTCTTATTTTATCAGTGACATCATCAAGCCATTAGAAATTCTACGTTTGACTTTGACTTTAATCTCGTTTAAAAGTTATTCAAATATGATAGATTGGCCAGTTGGCTTTGAGAAAGATAAATTTCTCTTTCCATCTATAAATATAAGGTACTCCGATCAACCACCACTATGCACTAACAACTGTGCTTCTTCTACCCGTGCTAGCAATGTTCCAGTCTCTGTGTTAATGAGAGTTGATGAGAGTCTCGTCTTCGATCTTCCTAGCATTCCTCAAAAGAACTCCTCAAAAAGGACGCACCTAATGTTCATATCCTTTAAAAGTAAATCAGTTTTTTGATCAAAATTATTCGAATGCACTATTGCAGTTTATTGATTCTTAGATTTAGATTTAGATTTAACAAACTGCAGAACTAACTGAACGATGCAAGAATATTTTCTAAATCCCATGGACCTATTAATTAGAGACAAAAAAACTAAGACTATCAGTCGGACTCGTTGTGTTAGAAGAATTTAGCATACTATTTGCCTTATACCTATAAAGTTTTTGGCGGCTGTTTGGTCTCGATTGCAATAAATTTTTCAGTTTTAGGCTAAATTCAAATACCACAAGTCTGACGGATTGAAATTGTTAAATTCTATTTGTGGAACTAAATGGAGAAAGCGAATTTCTTGATTCACTATCAATTACTGAAATACATTACCTCGCGATGCAACCTGTGTTTCCTCTATGATTTATTTAAAAAAAACAACTGGTCAGCATCCCGTATAATGCTGTTTATTATTTAGCAGCTCTAGATAGTTTTTCTACTTATATTATTGTTTCGTAACATTAGAGTAATTCAACTAAGAAGGATCAATAAAATGAAGTAAAAATTTGGAAGAATTCGGAAAACATGGATAACGGTCGAAACAATGGTCACTTTAGCAACTTCTGTCATACTGATCTTCCTTATTTGGTTTATTGTCGCTTTTAAGTTTTGTTCCAGCAGATGGCTTTTTGTCTTGCTTGGTTCATTGTTACTGAATTGCAAATTATTTGTGTCTTCAAAGGAATAAAAGTTCGTGAAAACTATGGAACTCATTGAAACTTTCATAAAAGTCTGCAAAATATTTCTGCTAACAAATAATAATTGATTGGTTGTAAGAAAAAGCAGAGTTGTTTCGCTCACATTCAAATCCACAACAGAAGACGACACATAAAGTTTTTCTTCTAACAGCGAACATTCCGAGGACAACCGGAAAACTGCCTGTGGCCAAGAAATCGTTCGCAATCCATGTACGCACCTCCAAAATAAATTAAAACAATTTTAATTCGCTCGAAATAATTCGCATGGGCCATGCCAGTGAGCTTAACAGTGCCGTTGCCGCGTTTTCTTTTATCGTCTTGGCGCGAAAATTCAACTCTCTCCAAATAAGTTTTCTCGAAATTTTATCGGACTAAAATGGCGTTATGGGTCGACAAATATCGTCCTAAGGATTTGTCTTCTTTAACTTATCATTTGGACCAAGCAAAAGACCTTGCGAACATCGTGAAAGTTAGTTCTGCATTGGTTTTGTCCTTTGATTTTATTTTGTGGTACTGTTTGCTTATTTGATCCTCTGTGACGTATATACTTAATTCCGATGGAAAGGTATTGGAAAAGAAAAGGATAAAGGCCGATCTCTAGGAAGGAAGAAAAAGGAAAGTATAGGCACATTGGACCAAATGCTTAACTAGAACCAATTCTTTTCGGTTATTTGCATTGAAGATTAGTTGTGATTTTAACTAATAAATAATTAATAATTTAACTAATAAATATCCTTAAATTTAAGTAATTTTATAATTTACTTGCCAAATTTCAAATTATGACTCTCTGTAAGGTATTTCAAGCACCATATATAGTTTGGTTGATTTCATAGACTGCTAGGGTGGAATTAGTTTTGGGATGAAATCACCCTATTATATTGATGCAGCTGAGCTTACCTGAATCTGATCTTTCGGCAAGTTTTGCCCTACCGAGGTGCATACTACTCTGCTGCTTTAATTATATACGACTGGAGCATGTTGCATTACATATAAGACGATATGAAATTTTCATGCAAATATGGTTTAAATTATTGAGTTTCTTTTTAGATTTAATAATATCTAATTAATTTTTCTATTTTAACTGTTACACTTTCTAAATTTTTTTATATTTATTAGAAAAAACATTATTTTTTATTGTTTTATTGTTAAATTTTTTTTTTTTTCAAAGGTTTTGTTTCTTTATTTTCTATTTTCAATTAATAATTTTTTAAAATTAAAAACTTAATAAAGTTTTAATTTATCAAAATGAGCAAATAATCAAGAATAATCCGAAGAATTAAGCTTTAAAATTGTTCAGGTTGGTGATTTTCCACATCTTTTGGTTTATGGACCAAGTGGTGCTGGAAAAGCAACTCGAATTATGTGTATACTAAAGGAATTATATGGGAATGGTGTAGAAAAACTACGACTTGATCATAAATCTTTTCAAGTTCCATCTGGAAAGAAACTCGAAATTGAAACATTTAGTAGTAATTATCACATTCAGTTAAATCCTGGGTTAGCTTATCTTTGCGAAGTTATATGTGTATAACAATTTGTCATCTATATATTTTTGATTCCTTTGGATTTGCTTTATTGTTTTATAATTTTTTGCTTATTTATTACAAATTGTTTCTAAATTTTTTCTTTTTTCGATGCTTTTAGAACAGTCGGTAATTATGATCGAGTAGTTGTACAAGAAGTTATCAAACAAATGGCTCAGATGCAGCAGATCGATAATATATTGCAGCAACCTTTCAAAAGTAAATCTTTTTTCCTTAATTGAAAAATAAGGTTATTCTTTAACATTTTTTGGTTTTATTGTGATGGTTGGATGCGTTATGGCTGTGGCTGCGAGCTCGATAATAATGTGAATAGTTATTAAATCAGTCTCTAAATTTGATTGCTAAACAACATTTTCTCTATTCCAGTGGTTGTGCTAATGGAAGCTGATCAGTTGACGAGAGATGCACAAGATGCACTTCGTCGAACCATGGAGAAGTATTCCTCTACTTGTCGACTTATTCTTTGCTGTGAATCAATTGCAAGAATCATCGATCCGTTGCGAAGTCGTTGTATGGCTATACGAGTGGCATCGCCTTCTGATAATGACGTAAAATTCCTTTTAAGTATTTTTAATTTTGTGAACGAAATAAGCTTTTAGCTAATTATCGAACGATTTAATACTTTCTTTTTCTGTTTTTTCTGTTTGATCTGTTAGAGTTAAAACATATTTTGTCTTCAGAATGGATGCAGGAAATAAAAAACAAATATTTATTCGATATCAACAAAAAAATTATATTTGAGGCACGCAAACCTGAATATTTTTTGGAAAAACTTTCTAAATTTAATTTTTTTGCGTTTTTGAAACATGTGGCTTTCAGATTTACTCCACTCTTTTATCAATCAAAAACTAAATGGTAGCTAAGCGGATTATTAATTTTTTGTTAGATTTAATTGATTTTTTTTTGTGAAATTCTTTGCGATTAAACTTTTTAAGATCAAACTTGCAATTCATAAGGTCTGTAAGTCTGAAAACATCAAAATACCAGATTCATTGTTAACATCAGTGGTTGATAAAGCTAATGGGAACCTTCGTCGAGCACTATTAATGCTGGAAGCAGCCAAGACACAATGGTTCGCTACTTTTCTAACAGTTCGTCTTTCTTTTATGGTTAAGCTCATCCTAACCATTTCTCTCAAATTAAAATAAGGAAGCATATAATCATTTATGGAAAAAATGCTTGATTCTTTATTTTTATTTCAGTTATCCTTTTAAAGAAAATCAAAATATACCTGATCCCGACTGGGAAATTTATCTTCGAGAAACAGCAAGGATTATTTTGCAACAGCAAACTTGTGAAAAGTAGGTTTTAATATACTTGTTATAGAACAACAAAATATTGGCTTAACTGTATGAAAGTCTAGCGAAAGCTGTAGATCTTTTAATAATCTAGGTTTGTCTGGATTCCCTTTTTTCATTCTACTCAATAAAGGTCATTTTAGCTTGCTAAAAGTACGTAATCGTCTTTATGAATGCCTCAGTCGATGTATTCCGCCCAGTCTTGTCTTTGTTGTCAGTTCTTTTATTTTATTTATTTATTTCTTTATACATTAGGCATTAATTTTTGAGTGAAGCAGTTTCTATGTTCTTTTAAAATGATTTTTCGTTAATCATAATCTTAGAAATTATTGGACGATCTACTACAAGGTTGTGACGAGGTGATTAAACCAAGTATAGTTGCATGTGCCGCTGAATTTGAACATAGATTGGTCTGTAGCAGTAAAGCAATCTTTCATTTGGAAGCATTTATCGCTGCATTTATGAATATTTATTACAGGCATAAAAATGCGGATAACTGATGTAATAATCTGAATTTTATTTTTATTGTTGAAATTCACTAAAATTTTTGTGCTGCTAGTAAGTTTAACGTGTTCAGATTTTGTTCAGGAATTATTTATTCACTATTTTATATTATTGTTTTATTGTTGATGTTAGATGAAATGTTTCTTTTTTGAAAGTTTTTGATTGAAAATTAAGAATTTTGATTATTTGTGATAATTATTTCGAATGAGAAAGCAGTACTTTTTATTTTTCATGTAAAAATTGAAATCATATCCAGTTTTTAATTAAACTTTTAAAAAATATAAAATATTAAATAACATAATTTGTAAAAAATTGCACAGGTACAAACGTACGGACTTAATTATGAATTAGTTTGAATCTTATATGGATTTATGGGTCTCAAACTGGTTATAATCGACCGCTGAATTGTCGTATTAATCTCGAGCATTGAATAACACAAACTGTGTCCTGAAATAGTTTTATTTGCTTTTTCATTATTTTCTTAAGCTTTGGGTCAAAATTTCTGCTTTATTGAAAATCAATACTTATACTTATACTTATGCAATGCTGGGAAGTTGATTATGCATGTCTATTTTCTTTCAGCAAATATTCATTTACTATATAAATTTCTATAGATTTCCTTAGCATGATTAAAGATGTGACGGTTTGAACTAACTTTTCGTTACTGATGTTTAAGGCATTATATGAAATAAAAGGGAAAGAGAATATACCGCGGTAATTTCTGAAAATAAATAATCATTGAGTAAATTTTCACAACGTTCAATGACCATTGAATGACATTCAGGCTGAAAGTTTACTTTAGATTCATTTTTAATGCATAATGCATATTAAATATATTTTAAAAAATTGGTTGTAGGCTATAATAATTTAGAAAACTATTGATGAAATATGCGGAATCAAAAGCGATGCGAATTTTGAAATTAATTACAAAATAATTTCAAATAATTATTTATAATTGTTTGAAATAATTAATAATGGCTTGATTGTCGGTTTAAATAATTTGTGAGAAAATTTTACTCCTTCCGCGGTGCACGTACAGGTTATACAAGGCGTAATCCTTTTTGTTTTACCCAAATTTATGACTCGATGATCGACCACACAAAATTCTAAATTAATATTAATGCTAAATTTCAGTTCTGTTATTAATTATTTCACGGCTAATTTTTTTAAAAATTAGTGCATTTTTCAAATGTTTTAAAAAATTTATAGCGATTTTGTAGAATAAATGCGTACGTCGGTCAAGCCATTCGTACAAATCAATATCAGGTAATTCTGAACACTTCACGGGAGCATTTCTGTAAATTTTAAATATTTGATAAATTTTCGTAATTAGTTAAAATCATTTGAATGATAAAACTCAACTATGATTTTTGCAAAACTGGCTTTATCGCAATGTTATATGGAAGGGCTTAAGCTTGAACTCTAATATTTTTACGAAAGCTGTCAAAAGTGCTAACGTTAAATTATCAGGTAAAAGGAAAGAGTTTGGTTGTATCTTCCGCGCATATTGACTATTCGAGCAAATAAGTTTACTCATTGTTGTTTTGCGAATCTCAGCTAATTGACCTGAAAAATTTTACCTAAATACATTCCTTTTTCATTTATCTAAATCAATTGGCCAATATTATCAATATTATGCTTGCCAAAAATGTGCTTTTAGCAATTACAGCATTATCCTAAAATTACCACGAACCTGGAGTAAATCTTGTTGCTGGATTGCCATTTTCATAATAAAACCGATCGCATTTTTTAAGCCTTTGAAATTGTTCAGCAATTATGCAAGCTATCGTTGGACCAACCAAAGCACCTGAAGCAATTGATATTTGGACTTCAGGAAGTGAATTATCATTTGGATTCTTCCATTGTTATCTGACTGTTCGAAAACTAACAGGAGAATTACCATTAGTCAGCCAAAATTACAATAGAAATAACTGAATATTTTTAAGAATAATCACCTCTAAGTGGCTTTTCAGACATAATGCCTGGAAATAGGTCAATATCATTAACATGATTATATACATTTTTAAAGGCTTTAATTGCCAATTCATCCATGGTATCACGAAGATCATCGAAGGTTTTTGCATGACGTAGTCCGCATATTTCACTAAACATGCATATTTTTTCCTTTTGCATATTAAACAAACTGGCCAATTAATTTCAATTTTTTTCTTTAAAAATTTATTTAGTTATAACAGGAAATCTGGAAAGTTGTTGTGTTAATGATAAGCATAGATAGATATATTAATATAACTACCGATAATTGTTGTACGGAGGTACACCATGATCTCTTCCACGTTGAATATTAAGTGCAGGGAGATCAAGACCTGTATGAGGTCCATCAGGTCTTTGGAATAGATGGTTTCGAACTGCATCAGCAATATGTCGATCAAAAGCCATGCTGTTAATATGAATTCTTCCAATACTCAATTGTTAAAATAATAAAATATATTTTATGGCTTATTAATGTTAAATTTTCAATCAATCGGAAGTTTATCGGAAATTAATTCAAATTACTTTCAAATTTAAGTGGATGGGCACGGAAATACCTTTCAGCACCAAGAAGACCCATCAAAACTGATTCGATATGACCTTCCTCAGGTGAATAGTAAAATGTGGCATTGTTGAATGATTTCTAAAAAATATTTTTATCATCGTGGCTTAATAGTAAATTAATTATGGAAATAAAAAATAAACAAAATGAGTAATTGGTGTGTGCTATATGAGATGGAATCTTACTTTACTATATATGTATATGTTATTATAAATTGATAAGGTTTGCTAAAAGCTCATTTATTTAGCAATAACGTTTTTAAATTTCTTTAAATTTTAGTCGAATCAAATAGACAACATACCTTTAATTCAAGAGATTTCATTTTTTCGTCATAATCACCGCTCATACGTGGAAACATATTTCTTATAAGTGAATGCCCAAATCGGAAAGCAGCAGTAGCCATTTCTTGTGATATTGTAGCATCACATCGATCATCATAGCCTATAACCAGGTTTTTTAAATTTTTACAGTTGAAAGAGCCTATCTATTCATAAAAGCTCATATATTATTCTACGATTCACCTCGATAATAACCATTTTTGCGTGGAACAAGGTCGTACTTTGCAACAGTTTCACATCCAAGAACGATCGGTAGCCATTCATTGTAAATTATATGTTGGATCTTCGCACCCATAATTCGTCGAGTTTCCTAAATATTTTTCAACGTAACAAATACTAGGTTTTCTTTTGATAGTTTTGACAGTTGTAGAAAACAATAGTTCTTACCCTACTCGACAAATAGAATTAGCCGAATAGAAGTGGCGAAAAATGGAAAAAATTATTAAAAGAAGAAGATAATGGTGTCAAAAAAGACCTATTTTAAAACCTATTTATACCTATTATTTTCTGAATAAAAGCGAAACATTTTAAAGCATTTAGATGAAATGGTATTGATTAGATATTAATTCAAAAAAAAAAAAATTATCACATGCAAGTTTGATCTACGATATCGGAAAAATAATACCATATAAAGTTTTTCATCAGGCCAAAAGTTATTGATTCGATTGAGTGTTGTAGCTATTCGGTTATGTTCACGTAGAAATATGGTATGCATAACAGTCAGACCCGGCTGTTCATTACTTCGTTCGTCACCTGCATTGAAGCAAGGATGTTTAGGTTTTGATCTGAAAAATAAAATTAAAGATTGATAATCGCTGCATCTCAAGCAAGAATCAAGTGAATCAAATGAATACAAGCAGTCTCTCTCCTGAGATCCTTGTGGCAAAGCTTCTTTATTAAAACCAAGATCAGTAAAATTTAAGCGCCCTTGGCTAAACAATCGCAATGAATTGGCTTCGCACTCTGTTGAACCATAAATAAACGAGGCATCAATAAATGAAGTCAACTGGTTCAGCTAAATCAGTATATTTAACAATAGAATGTTAAGTGTATTATTTTCCTTTTTAAATTGAAGGATAATTTGAAAATATGCAAATTTTTGATAAGCTGGAATGAAGAATCCAATGATATTAAGGCAAATTTTGTTGATAGATTTATCGAGAAATTCAAATAGACATTTCTTTCTTTCTGAATTTTTAGTTTATTAAATTGATATATTTTTTCATTCAGGAACTTATTTGCTTACTCATTTCAATTTTGTTTTAAAGTAAGGATAATTAATATTCTGTATAAATTGATTGGCATATGAAATATTATTTTGATTATAAATTTTTCTCCTTATAGACCTGAGAAAGTGTCAAATTTCATCCTGAAGAATCAAGGTAATTTTTTCCAGTTCTTAAATTGATAACTTTGTGAGGCGAATAATTTTGGAAGATATGAATAGAAAAACCTGCTAAGCAAAGCATTAACACCTTGTTATTACCAACCTGGTTTCTATATCCCAAAGTAAGCTGTCCTAAAACAGATCGAGCAAAAGAAAGACATTTTGGTTCGCCTGTTGGTGTTAAGTATGGGAAATGAGGATCGTCTCTTTCAACAGGGATTGGGAAACAATGGATTGAGAGAGTTTTATCCGAATCACATCTAGAGCAGTTGAGAATTGTGTTACCCGGACCTGAAAAAATATTTGTCAAAATATTTATTATAATTCTAGAAAGAAAATTCGATTAACCTCTTGCAACAGGTGAATGAGCAAAATCATGATCAATGACTTGACCCATTTGCATAAGCATGTGAGAGAATTTGGTATGAAATACTGGAACTTCTTGATGAATGGCATTTGAAACTGTTCTAGCTGAAGGAAGTTTACGACCTCCATGGCCAAGTGCACGCGGTGTATCAAAACCTATAATTTGCTCACTGGAATGATTCGGTGTTTTGGCATTATTTTAATTCAAAGAATTAATTTTTGAATTATGAAAATTAAATAGTGAAAGATTTCGTTAAGCTGGTTATATCTTCGCAAAATGTTAGCACCAGTAGCAAATAAAAAATTTAGAAACTTTAACGATATTTTTTTTATATGATTAAGCGATGAATTCTGAAAATTTTTCAAAACTATATTTCAAATATTAGGTTAAATTTTTTTCAGACGAATACCGTCGTCATAGACCGGGTCAAGAAGTCTGCGCATTGGTGCGAAGGCATTTCCATAATGCGGGAAGCGTAAATTATTGCACCATCCCGAGAAGGTACGATATTTTGAAGTATGATCGCAGGGCAATGGCTGTGGCAAGCACTCATCTGCACTTGGGCTCTCATGCCCTAGGAAGTCACTAATATTGCCAATAAATCTTGACACATCAACTTCAGGCAAAAGTCGTTGAAGTGTTGGAATATCAAGTTGAGCCGGAAGACGTTCTTTTTCATCAAGTCCAATTCTAAATTTCAATATTCGAAAATATATTTTTATTACGTCACATTTATTAATAGATTCTGGATGAATTAAACCCTTCAAGAAGTATTTTAGTCGTTTCTCGAAGCACTGCAGCAGTTCTTGACAATTTTATTGATTCATTTTTTGGTGCCAATAAATTAGAGTGACGAATAATTGCCGAATTCCTTCCTCGGTTACGATTATTTCCTAAATTTCTTTATTTGTTTGAAATGCCATAAATTATGCATCACATAACACTATGTGCTGGTGAAGCTAACAACGAAAGAAGTAATAAATAATAAAGGAATGTGCAGCTGAAGCATTTTAGCCGAATGGTTTGTTCAAATTATCGTCTCCAGAGATTCGGATTTTACCTCCGGGAGAAGTGCCACTAATAAGACCGAGGTTGACTGATCACGAATTGGCTTTCTAGCAAAAATTTCTCAACATAATAGGTAATTAGCACTAACCAATTACTTCTTTTGCTTTATAATATCGGCTAAATGATACTAAACTTTTCGATCTTTCACTGAATTCTAATATGATTATACCAAATGATTTGAAGTTTAGGTCTCGAAAATACAGTAATAATTGGCGGAATTAGAAGCCAAGAAGCATGAAACTTGAAATTTTTTCAAAACGATCCTAAAGACAAGCTATTTTATTATTATGTCAATGATATGTTATCATTCAATTAATGTGGGTCAGAATGGTGACCTCGGATCATTGTGCTGAGGCAAGAGGCAAGAGGTATCCTAATCTCGACAGGAATATAAAAGCAAGTGGCAAGCCATCTGCTTCTATCACTAAATGATTCCAAAATTTCTGGCGGTACTGATAGCCAATGAAGCCAACTAATCTAAACAGAAGCAGCGATTGACCACTTTCATTCAATCAAGGTAAATATTTTCCAATTTTTTCTTCATATTATTTTCAGCATCAATACGAAATGTTTATCCAAATTTAAAATGACTTGCCTTGTTGAAAGATACGAGCTGCTTCAGCTTCATTCAAACGTTTAGCATGTTCTGCTCCGAGTCGAATGGCTTTTTCCAAAGTTGCTCGAGTAATAGGCAGTTTCAGATGAGGCTCTTGATCAGCCCATTTATTTATGTCAAGACTGTCAATTATACTAGAACTGCAATCCATTGGGCAATTTCTAAAAGAACATACAATAATAAATTTCTTATGCACGCAAGATGGCAAGCAGCAAGAATTTAGATATTTTCAGTCATAAATAAACATAGCAAGTAATTTAATAATTCATTAAAATATTTAATTGCGATTTATTTTAAAAAAGAATTTAAAAAACCCATGTACCCATAATCGTCGGCCACTTCAAATACATTCGGTTGAATCCTTCCAATATTATCAGTATTATCGCAAAGAATACGGCTCAGTGAAGTTCTCCGAATTTCATTCAATTGTTCCAGAGTAAAAGCTGATGGAACAAAGAAATTTTCATACCAAAAACGATCTCCACGTCGAACCTAATGTATTTATATTATTTTGAGTGTTAACACTGGAAATTCTTGGAATGTTTGGCGTATCTAAATAGTATTTTTTGGTTAACAAATGAAAGAAATTACTCGCTGGAATTGCTTCCCAATGATGCAGGAGAATGTTGGTCCGATCAGTGCACCTCGTTGAGGACGTTCCCCTAGACCGAGAACGAATAAATCGACATCATCAATAGAGAAATATAGTCGTGATAACGCATTTATATCAACCGAATCAAAAACCTTGTATTTGTTGTTAATTAACAGCTTTGAATTGATATTTTTATATTTTAATGAAATATTTAACATTTATAAAATTACTTTGAGAAAATATGTTCCTTAAAAAAAGCGCTGGATCGAATAAGCTGCTGCCAGCTTTTTTTGCTTTTTTAAGAGTCCTCACCATTACTGGTTAAACTCGCTCTACCGGCTTGTTGCAATTGGGCAATATGCCAGGAATACAAATACAGGTGTTTCCATCACCCGGATTTTTATACAAACTTACTCCCGCGAAATCGAAATCGAACTTCAGTGTCAGCGCTCCCAATTGCGCAACAACCCACTGAACCATTCTTTCCCCAAGCTGCTTGCCAGCTATTATAAAAATTTTATTTTTCTTTTAAAATATAGAAAATTATTTTATATGCATTATTTTTATAGAATCCAGCACATGTCACAAGTCTATTCCATATATTCCAATTATATAAGGTCCACAAGTAACATCCACATAAAATTATGGTAAAGCTTAATCTGGCACGGATTTTCTTCAAATGGGCTACTTACTATATCATTGAGATCCGAGAAATTATTTGGTCGTCTAAGCCCACACAGCGTCCTAAATGTGGTATAACCAGGTATACCATGATCTCTTCCCATTTGAATGATCATTGCAGCTAAATCTAATCCATATTTGTCCTGTCCTTGTAGAAAATGATTTCTGAATTGTTTGTTCATATGTAAACCTGGTTTTTGAATTGTTTCTTTCAACAGATATCTGAAACGTTTTTGAATTTGCATTTTGAAAATAGTACTAGTGCAATTTCCATCGAATTATTCCAAAAAAATTTAAGAAAATTTTACCTTAGTATAGATTCCAGTCTTCCTTTGCCATAGATCAATGATGGATTGTTATACAATTCATTCCATGGCCGTTGTATCTCTTGATTATAATTATTATCATAAAGAGTGAGGTATTCAGGAAACAGCGAAAAGAAGAAAAGTCCCACTGAAGACGCAAATTCATTTAATACAGTGGGATCTATTTTCTAAAAAAATATATTTTAATTAACCTAAATATATTTATATTCTAAAAAAGTCAATTTTATACTTAAAATATATTTTTAAAGTATAAGTTTTATGTATAAACTGTGTCTAAAAAGTACATTTTTATTCACCATTTCTGGCTGGGCTCGTCCCTTTAGTTAATACGTTAAAAAAATTTTGTCGGGGAGTCACTTAATCATAAAAGAAGAAGTGCATTCCAAGCACTATACGCATTTTAATCACAAGAATGTGAGAGTCTGAGTGCTTAAGGCGATAATAATCTCTCGACAATTCTGTTGCCAATCATTAATATTAGTATATATTTTTTAAATTATATTAAATTATATTTTAAATTATAAATTATAAATTTTATTTTATTATTTTTTATTATTTATTAAATTTTATTATTTTTATTATTATTATTTTATTTTATTAAATTATTTTATTAAATTAAATTTTATTTTATTTATTAAATATTAATCAATATCATAAATTTGTTATTGATAAAAAATAATTTTATTTAGAAAAATGCATATAGTTTATTCTCCAAACTGTGTTGTTCATAAATTAAAAAATCCACTAAACGCTGATAATCGAGATTACTGGAAATATTATTTAGTAATCAAACTGAGCTTCATAAATTTTTCATTTCTCAATTCGTCATTCATCATTTCTCGAATTTCTTATTTTAGCTTCATTTTTAAACAGTCTTATTTATGGAAAATTTATTAGACAGATAAAAAAATTTTAACTAAGTTATAGTCGCTATCGTAAGCATGATTGCGCAAGTTCAATCCGAATTTACGAAGATTATCTTTGCCAACGATGATTGGCAAAAACTCATTGTAAGTGATATGTTGGATCTGGGCGATAACGATGCGCCGTGCTTCTTGATAAAGTCGATCATCATCCCAGTGGTTATTAATTGTCTTGAAAATATTAGCAAATAATTGAAAAAATTGAAAATTGAAAATAATTGAAAATTGATAATAAATAATTGAATAATTGAGTAAATAAATATTTACTTTCAATATAAAATATTAGTGGTGACAATTAAATAAATGAAAGTAAAAGTAAAAACCCATAAGCTCCGCTATTTATGAAAAAGTGGAAATTAATTCTTATAATAGTACTTTTAAACAAATTCCATAGAATTTCGAAGAGTTCCGAAAAAAAAGAATACATACGGCTAGTTCAAATCCTCAAATATATAAAATATTTCGCCATTTCTGCTTAGACTTAATTGAACACTTAGAATTGCCTGGAGGTTATTGGTAATAGAAGTGCGCTAACACATTCGGATATTTTAATAGCTGGTTTACTCTCGTAAGAATTGTTACCTTTCAGCCAGTACTGTTACTGCCCATTTCGGCCCAAAGCACTAAATGTTTCATTTTATTATTTGCACAATTTTTTAGCAAACCTTTAATTTATTAGCTATATTATTATGTTGCCTCATCCATATTGTATGCATAGTTGTACTCGTTGGTATCAAATTTGTATACTGACCACCGGAAAGAAAACACCTTTGAATGGTTGAAGTTGAAAAGCATTCAACTTCGTCTGCTTCAGGCAATAAATTACCTCGGTGTTGAGATGCCAGAAAGCCTTCAAAATAAATATGTTGACGAGATATGAATTTGCACGAATTCTACTCAAATTTTTAAATTTTTCATCTTTTTTCGTTTTTATGATATTTAAATCTTTTTTCCTAGAATATTTCGCTTAAGATTTCACAAAAAATATTTATGACTGCATTTTGGGTATAATTAAGGTAACCTCTTTCGAATACTCTAAGAACTTTTGCTTGATCAGTAGTGCTTCCATATATATGGCTGGCATCAAGATAGGAAGTTGCTTGATTAGCTTGTTCTCGAAATCCTAATGAGCAGTTTTCGCGTGGCGAAGTGGCTGTCCTAGTGTATGGCATGCATTTCATATATTCTATAAAAATTCTTATCAATTACAAATTACTGCTAAATATGTCATTAAGTTTGAATTCAATTTTTATTTCTACAAAAAAAACAAAAATTTGAACTATATCTTGTGGATAATGCAAATAATCTTGAATTTTTTTAACAGTATTTTATTACTGGAAGCTACAAATTAAAATTTATATGATTAGAATATACTGGAATACGTTGGATCATCCTCGTCGATCATTATCGGGAAACATTCCGGATGATATAATTCATGATTGCAGCAAAATAACGGCTGAGCATGAGAACCTGAAAAATGGGAGTTCTGCATATCGTCTAGAAAAAAGATATTAATCCACTTTCACTGGTTATCCTAGTTCTTCCTATTTGAAATAATCAGAAACCTCGAAAAATTCGATTTTTTCCAGTCAAAGTTAAATCTTCGTAAACAAACATAGCCCACTGTGCAACCATTAGTGTGCATACATTGTCGGTCGTTATTGCTGTAAAAAGTTCATTGGATATTTTCCTTGGATTTGGCAGTTGAGCACCAATTGTGGATGCGCGTGGGTTGCTGATTTCTGAAATTTTAATTCGAGATTTTTATAATTAAGTCAAAGAATGTTTTCTTTAGCGTGAACAAGGATAACAAAGATTTTCGAGTGCTTGTGATCAATCACAAAGTTAAGTTTATTAAATTTTCAAATTCTTTTATCTTTCATTTTGCTTAATTGTAATAGCTTATAGATTACCGTCAGAATAGTCCGGTTTGAGCAACCTTTGCATTGGTTCATAAACCGCACCCCATAAAGGATTATTAACATTATTGCAATGTCCTGAATAAGTACGATATTTGCCTGGCTCGCACCCACTAATTAAATTCAGCGGGCATACTTCGCCCAAAGCTGTACCACCAAGTTCTATTTTTTGCAAACCAAATGCAATACTATTTGGGCTAATGTTATCGCTAAAATGATTTAAAAATGATGCTGCAGATAGGTAAAAAAAAAAGATAATTTTCATTCGAATATATGGAAAAACATGACAAAATTGGAGAAAAACTAAAGCTTGAGAAAAATCAAATCTACACGCACTTGCGAAGTCGCTGGGTTGCGGCTATTGAAATTAATGACGAATATAATAATTTTTTGGCATGATTGTCTATCTTATTCATATCAGTCCACAGTATTTCTGCTTGTAGTATTTCTAAATCTTAAATTTTAGATAGATTGACTAAAGAATTTTTAAGAATTATGCAACTATTATTGCTATAATAAACTTGTTTCCATCGAAGATCGATTAGAATTAATGAATTAATGGAGTCCATTGGTCTTTTTTTCGCTGATGCGACATTTTTATCTTACTGAAAACATACAGGGCATTCGTACAAGAACAAATGGTACATCGCTTCAACTGAGATTAAGTGAATGTTCGATTCCTACACCTTGTAATTTTGAGGTTTGAAGAAATTCAGGCGCATGGAACTCTCAGAAAAATAGTGGATACTTTTAAAAAAAGAGAAAATGTTAATCGAGAATTGAATACCATTTTTCTTTCTATCTGTAAATATTGCTTGTTCAGTTTGGTTGAATAATTTGTCGATTTCAAGTTTGGCGTCCCGTGTTGAATTAACGATAAGTAGTGGTTCAATAATGTGGCTAACATCGGCATAATCTGATCTTCTCAACGGAATACTTTCTAATTCGTTTTCTTTATCACCTAAAATATTATTTTCGATCTCATACATTATTATTTATCTCACAAATTTTTTATTTTTGCTTGGTTTGTTTCATTTTTTTAAACTTACAATAAGGAAAAAGAAAGCCAGTATCTAAAAAAACATGTGCTGGATTTTGAACCCGATGCTCGAGAATCTATACCTTAAAAATCTGTTTGCAGGAAAATCTCTCCTATATAACTGAATAAGAAGTTAATAGATAAATTATATCAAAAATGGAAGAAAATAGGGCAATAAATTTTCAGAAAATTAATTTCCAGTTTTTGGAAAAAGTAGAAAAATTAACCAACCTACATTCGATTCTTATAAAATTCTTAATTTCTCGCCATTTTGCATAAATTTTGTAAATTACTTTTTGGAGAATTTTTAAAAAAATTGGAAAAATTGGAAAAAAAGAAACTGAGACAAAGATATACGAGAACATCACAAAGCATTCTTTATAAAAATGGTAAAGATTAAAAATTTAAAAGATTTGGCTAGTTATTAAAAATGATATGAAAATATGAAAATGAAAACGAATTTCGAAGAAAATTTATTTTTCTCCCTCTAAATCCGAATTTATTATCATAAAATATGGCAAAAATTTTACATTCACTGATGTATTTTGGTCAAAGGGAGGAAAAAATAGTCTTTTGAATAAAAAATCAGCAAAAATGAACCATTCAGTTCCATTGCACAAAAAAGTGACTAACCAATCACATTATTAAAAATACCCAATGATAATAAACTCCTAGAACATGGCGTAAAGCTAGTTCCGCAAGGAATATTGTTGCGCTTGAATCTGGCATGAATATTGCTACCATTTACGATTGAAACATTTGTTGAGATCAATTTCACAAGGAGGAACAATAAATATTTCATATATATATATATATATAAAAGTGATCTGAAGATTCTCACATAATTAAACTTTCTTTATAGAAATCATCTGATGGGCAATAGGTTGAATTATAAATTGCAAAAAAAAGAAAGATAGGTTTTGAACAATCTTTTTAGGCCATTGTATAGAATTTTATAAATGAGCATAATGTGCAGAAAATAAGTAAGCAAATAAAAAGGGAAATCAAGGCACAAAAGTTTGCAATAAAATATGAATACAAGAAGAAATTCAAGTAATAGTATAACAAAAACATTACAGGCTTCAAAATTATTGCTTCTGGTGACCATTTTTAACTTCTAAATAGCTCCATGGTAAAAATTTTTACTCTTAACAATTCTAATCTTAGCAGGCAATGGAGCTAGTAGAAATGATGGACGCTAAACTCATACATACTTATTTGCTTCTAAGCCAATTAAAGTTTATGGAATTAATCTTTTGGAAAAATTGAAATTCATTTTTCATTTTATTTTTTTAAAATTATAATAAATTTTCGACATAAAGATCAATGAATTTTTTTGAAATAGCGAATCATGAAAATTCTTCTCGCAAAAAGGGAAATTGTAAGGGAAATGCTCATATAAAAATGAAAATGAAATGAAAAATTGGCATTAAAAAATTGGCAAAAAATTGATGTGGCGTAAAGATAAAGAAAGGATAAAAGGACAGAAAATTCTACCCATATATTCGACTTTATTGTTTTTTAAGAAATAAGCAATAAAATAAAAAGTAATAAATAAAATACAATGAATAAAAAGTATATACATATACACATAAGGCATATATATATAGTGATATACAATGGACATATTTTCTGATTTCTCACCATTCACAGTATTCAAATGAAGACAAATGATAAAAGATTTATGAAATAGCAGTTATACTGACAAGTTTTTCATTTATTTCGTGATTTATCTAAATTTAATCATAATCAATTTGATCATAAATGATTATTTCGGCAAGATTTTAAAAATATTTAATCATAAGAAAGCTTTTTATTAGCCATAAAATTCTATTATTCACATTTTTATATAATTTTATGAGAAATCTGCGGAAACCATCAATGTGGAAGGAAGGAAGGAAACAAAAATATGGATATATATATATATATATATATAGGGATTTAAGGCTCTAACCGATAAGAATTATAAGTTTTATTGGTTTTATTCTATGCCTTAATGATTGAATAACTCGAGATTTCCAAATTATTTCACAATTTGTAATTTTACGATCATATTAATCAAAAGCGCTTTCTCCTGATTCTCCAAGAATTAATTTCGTAAAAAATAAATTTTGCTATCGAGCCATTTAGTTAAATTGTGTCAGAAACATGTTCGCCATTAAGAATTCATTATAAATTTTTCCATGATCTCAGCTAGAAATAATGGTTTCAAATGGAATAAAATTTCTTTTTAATTTGATCGCCTTGAGATCGGATTTCAATTGGCATTTCAATTGATGGCTTTTTTTCGTTTCTATGATAAAATAGCGATATGACAATGGTCGAAAAAAAGGATTTTTATTGTCAGCGGCAAAAAAGACTTTAAAACGAAAATTTTTATCACTAAAAACGATTCAAAATATCTGATTATCTCATGCGATTCTGGAAAAATATTCTTGTTCTTGTATTCTTGTTTTTTCGATTTTTTCAGATAAATTGTAGTAAGATCGAAATCCAGGCCATATCTCATATAATTGCAGGGAATGATAAAATTTTAAAAAATAGCATTTGATGAAAATATTTCTAAGTTGAAAATTCTTCTGGAAGGAAAAGGAATGCACTCTTGCGAGAATAAGATTATTTTTAGTAACAATCGTTATCAGCAATCATTAGACTGGCTTATTTTTCAAATTTTAAGAATATTTGGTTTCAGTCGGCAAAACAGTTTGATTATAAATGGGCAACGATTGAGTAATTAAGCGATAAGTGAAAATGGGGAAAAAACCTCGAATGCCAATCTTGACGAAACATTCTCATTTTCTTAAAGAATTAAGAAGAATAATAACAAATCTTAGAAAAAAATTATCTCATTTAACGTATCATGGAACCGATCGATATTAATATTTTGGCTTTTGAAATAAATTGAAATGTCAAATAAATTAAATGTATTCTGGAAAGCTTCAAGCTGCAAACGAAATAAAATATTTTAAAAATATTTTTGTCAGCTGTTACGAAATAGGAATATTTTAAAGACTATAATGATCTTAATCATAAAAGAAAAGTCGCTATTCCGGTTCACGAAAATGCATGAAATTCGCGAAAAACGGATTTCAGATTTTGATTGAATCTTTCCATTTATTCATCCCCAATGAAAAAAATGTCTTTGCCATCGTCATTCTTAATAAAGACAGAATTCGAGAAATGGTTCCAACAATGTATCAAACACAAAATAATGAAAGTAGTGCAATGGCAACATATAAGTAAGTTACTTTAATTATAAAATAAATAAATAGCTTTTCTCAGGGCTATTATTTGTTGAAACCATTATTTTTGCAAAAAACTATTTAGTTCGCGACACTTCATATTAATTTGAGTTATCGAATATATCATTTTGATTAGTCTGATTAGTTTAAAGAATTTCATTTCATTTAGAGAATTTAAAGACAAAAAGCAAGTCGCTCAAGCATTAATTTCTTTACCAAGTTTGTTTTGTAATATCTGGTGCCTTTATGTTGGAATTAAAAAAGAATTGACTGAGCAAAGACGATTAGCGAGAACGAACTGGATTTCCATCATTTAGAATTGGCTTCAAATATTGATTTCGTTAGCCAATTAATTTTAATTAAGTGATATTTAAAATAGCACATGTGGTAATTCAAAATTTCTTGTTCTACTAGCGAATGACGTTATTTTGTTATGACAAAATAAACCAAATTCACAACGAGAAAAAATAAGGCAATAGAATTACTAAAATGTCGATATGACTGCAAACGCAAGGAAATGATAGGCCAAGTTTTCCGAATGGTAGAAATGGCAATGAAACCCATTTGTATAGCCGAGCACTTTATCGATAATATAGATTTAAGTTCAAGCCTTTTGGCTTGCAAGCATTTCTTTCTCACTTACTTCAAGTTCTTGTTTATCCTCAACGAAGCTGACGGATTCACAAAAATTATTATTCTATTATTATTAAAAAATTGTCGCCTGATCATGAAATGATTTATTTCAAAGTGTTTGAGAAATGAAAGAACTTGGAAAAGGAAAATATATTCATAGATCAACTTTTAGGTGATTTTTTCATAAAAAAGTTTTTTTGCGCCATCGAAATGGTTGTGAAGGAATATTTGGAGAAATTACCGTTACGAATGACTTTGATTTGAGTCGATAGTATCGCACAGCAATTTTAGTTGATTAATTTTAGTTTGATTAACTAGAAGATCAATGATCCCTACTTATTTATTTTTTTCCAGTAGGCACTCATCATTCCTAGTTAAATTTATTCTGCTGGTTTGTCAGACCAGACAAATTTTGCTAGGAAGTCGCTTGGCAGTAGAAATACAATAGAAATACAAAGGAATCGCAGCAATCATCCAAATTTTTTTAAAAAAATAGAACCTCAGAACTTAGCACCTCACCAATATTGACATTACAAATATACAGCTAGATACAGCAGATTTGAACTTAAATCATTTATTTCAAATTCTTCGCTATGAAATAAAGCTTATGATAAATAAATTATCGCTTAAGTTATTCATAAGCTTTATAGATTTTCTTCTATCTAATTTATGCTCATGAAAATGCTATACTAGATAAATGCTATATGCAATTTGATTATAATAATCAATCCAGTTGCTAGAGTTCTGCTAGATTAATTTTCTCGCTTATTTCTCTAATGGATATGGGTTTGAAAACAAGATTTTCTAAGAACAAGTTCCCTAATAAATTAATAAATCAAAATCTTTAGGCAGTCATGTTGCATCAATTATTTATAATAAATTACAATAAAAATCAAATCGAATCAAAAGATTTAAGGTGAAGATGGTGATGATCCAAGCGCATTATACTGCATATTTCGAGTTTATATGAAAAATTAGGACAAATTAACGAATTGCATTGCAGTGGAACAGGGAACCACTTTTTGTCCCAACCGATTTACTTTCTTTTAAAGCATTTCAATTTTTTCATTTTCTTTTTTCCAGCACGAATTTCTCTTTTTTTAATATAATTTATTAACAGGAAACCACCGTAAATAATTTAATTTCTAAAGGGAAAAGGGATTATTTTTTTCTTTTCTGATTAATATAGAAACTCCACTTTCAAAATTAAAGGACTTATAAATTTATGAATTTATGATTAAAAAATTTACAAATCTTACACTTCCCAATAATAATGAAAAAATAGTTCAACAATCAGTACTAATCAGATTTTTGTTTGTTTATTCTTATTTGTAAAATTAACCGAAATGGAATGAATAACAATGACAATGCATGCAATCAATTAATATTATCAACTCGGCAATTTTTATTAATCTGCTTCTCACCGTCAAATATTAAACAAATTATAAGTTCTCTGCACTCCAGAAATGGAGTACTTTGCTTAAAAGATTTTGTTAACTCAAATTAATACGGCTTTTGGTGAAATTGCAGAAAAGTGGAGAAAATATGGTTTCAATTGATCTAAATGCAAATGCTGCTACCCGTACAATGGAGAGGCCAAAATTAAGGAGATTGACTGCCTTGCTTAACTTCTTCATTAGAAATATTCACTGCGAGCCTAATGTTATTGCCTTTCTTGCTATTCCAATGTATGAGTAATTTTAGTATTAGTAAAATCATTTGTTTCACTTTGCTTTTAATATTTTTGTTACCTTCCAATTTTCATATTCCTTTTTTTGGTTGCTTAGATACATGGCTTTATGGCTCTTTTAGTTATTCTTATAATGTTCGCGAAGCAGAAATTAAACAGGCGACAATCGAATCCCACGACCAGAACGGCCAATCGTTTGCTACAAAGAGCCGGTTTTGCTTTCTCTCTCCTAGCGTGAACCATTTTATAGACCTTAGATAATAATTAGGTAAGTAAAGGAAAAATGATCACGAGAAATGAGAGAAGTTTTGAAGGGAATGTGAAAGTAAATATTCATGTGAACATTGATGTGCTTGGAAGAGGAATAATTAATCGTTACAAATTATTAATCGTTTTCAATAACGTTATTTTGTAAACATTTCCTTGTTTCATATTTGTTATATCATTTTAAGGTTGCGATGACTGTCATTAATGAATGTTTGCAATAATTCATGAGCGTACGAACTAATTATTTACGGGACGAATCTAATTATATAACAAATATGAACAAAATATTACCAATTTTATCATCAACGGTTTCATCTTTTAATCGAAATTGGTTTAATCGAAATCGAGATAGATGTATCAGTTATTTCATTGTGCCGAGAAGTAATAATTCAAATTTCAGTACTTAGTATAAAAGGCAAAATCGTTTGAATAATTTAATTTAAGCCAATAATAATATCAATAATTATAAAATAAAACCTCAATATTCGAAAATAAGGAAAAAAAAACAATTCTTGTTAAGAAAAAATATTTTCCTAGTAGTGGCATAAATAAAACATGCAGCATAATTAAAATATAATTATCACTGAAATTACTGAAAAAAAATTATAAAACATACAAAAATAAAAAATATGCGAAATGTTGGAATATGCATAAGCATCTAATCATCCGAAATTTGTTGTTGCCTACTAAAAATGAGAACTGTAGTCATCCAACTTATTTAGATATAACTTATTAACAAACGAATAAAACACGCCGTTACCAGTTTTTAGAGTTCCAACTTAAACCCGAGAAATGATTAAAAACATTAAAAAGGAAGCCATAAGTTTTTTTTTGCATAAAATTCTAAATTCATAAAGTTAAAAATTAACAATTTTTCCACCAAAAAATTAATAAATTAACAATTCAAATATTATGCGATTCATATGGAAAAAGACCAGTAATTTTTAATAACATAATAATAATATTTCTTAAGAATACCCGTTAGCGCGATAAATCGGAAACAATGGTTCATTTGATTCAACACTATTTACATTGACTTTTTCGCCCTGAAAAATAAAAAGGTTTTTTAATCTTATTTATAAATATAAATAAACCAGTTTTATTTCAATATCCACTAAATCAAATTTTTTGCACGAATCTCAAATTTTTACCTTATCTGGATGATTATTTACGATCTCGTGCACATGCATTACATCGCCAGAAAAATTTTTAGATCTTGGTCCTATTGTTCCATAAGCATCAATTATCGGCCTAAAACACCAGCCAGTTGATAAGATATAGCCTATCTATGAATATAATAAGAACGTAGAAAATAATCTATCTAATTATTTTCGTTTTCCACAGTCATAATACTTATTATTTATTAACAATAATTTGATATAACTTCTAAAGCCTAATCGAAGAAAAAAAACAAGAAAACCTTGCGGAAAATTTGCTTATTACATCTGTACTAGTTAAAGTACTGTTTAGTGGCGGTGAAGATCGGAAGTATAAGCTAAAAAAATTAAGAAAATTAATCGACTGTTTAAAATACTTTTGACGAGCTAAAAAATTTTTATTACCATGATCACCTGTTTTTCCTGCTTTTAGTCGCATTCTAACAAGTATATAACGTAAGATAAAAATTTCATAAATTTTAGGATTGTGAAATGCATAACTTACTCATATTTCCCATTAGCCTCATATGGATCCGGTAGAGGTCGAGATGATAAAATGCTCTGAGCAGTTTTTCTATCGAATAGACTAACATCATATGGCCGTGGTCCAGCCGATTGACTATCAAACATATAATCACTATCGATGCTACCACATTTCTTTTCTCTATCATTGTGAAATTTTAGATAAAAAATAGGTTAATTTTATAAAAAGTAATTGAAAAATCAAACAAATTTCTAATTTTCTAGATTTTTTTATTAAAAAAAGAAACTGCGAACTTGTTGCAGTATTGCATAATATATGCAAACATAAAGCATGCTAATAATAGAAGACTTGCGCAAATAATGAGAAGAATAATTTCGGTTAGTGACAAACGCCCAGATGATGAAATAGATGGAAGGCTGATCATCAGTTGAGGAAGATATTCAACAAAACTTTGGCGATGTTTCGTCATGATCCTATAAAAACGATTTGCAATTTGAATGATTTCCTATCAATTATGGTAGAAACAAAATTCACGCAATGTACAATGAATATTTATATGGATAAAACCAATATTTTACGAATCATGTTCCTCAAAGAAAAATGGTCGACAACTTTTTGCATAGTAGCACATATTTAATCCAATAGGTTTTGGATAAAATAATAGATAATGTAATAGGATGATCAATAAGATAAGTTCGATTTCTGGCTCTTCAAAGAAGGAAGTCTCATCAAAAATGAAACCCGAATGATGCCCGAAATATACCTACATATCCTTTCTGTCACCAAATGAATTTCTAGAGAAGCGATGTCACTCTAACAGTCAGCGAGCCAGCCAAACCAGAAATGGTGAAGGAAGAGAAAAGAAAAGTAGAAATAAATGAAATAATTGATTACCTTTCGAATTCTTTTGCAGGCAGTGGAGCACGTGTTTGATCATCCAATGCATATACCAACAAATGCGTCCTAAGATTTACATTTTATAAATTTTGAAAATTTGTACTCCTATGACCAATAAAAAATTGTAATCTAAACTTCTGTTGAAAGTAAAGTGACAGATGGATAAACTAATGAAAAAAAAATGGTCAAACTTTTTTGGGTCCGCATGCCCGTTTTCATCTGTATAGACTTGCTTAACCAATATTCGAATATCATTGCCAGTTATTTCGCTCATAGAATGTTCCAGTTTCCAATCGTCAATATTTTCTTGTGGAATATCAGCTGACAATAAAATTAGGTTCGTATCAGGCGATAATTTATAAATCTATAAAAAAGATCTATAAATTTTATAAATTTTAAAATCTTAAATTTTAAGAAATAAAAATTCTATATTAATGGTATTTTTATATTATTTTGCATTTTTTGTATTAATGGTATTAATGGTATTATCATGAAATTCTTTATGATATAATGTGATTCAAATAAAATAAGGAATGGTGCAAGCGACTGATTGCTGAAAGGTACATCTATTGAAATCAACTTACTTTTACTGGGCTGGTTACGTTGTAAAGACCATCGCTAACGACAATATTGAATTTAAAAACATCATGGTTGTCATTAGCCAAAGATTTAATTAAAGTTAATATCCCATTCGTTTGATTTACAGAGAAGTGGTCAACATCGGCATCAGGTGAAATCCAATATTTCAATGACGCTTTCTCGTCCAGATCTTCTGCCTAAAACGTTTTTCTATCAGATTGCAAAATAATATTTATTTACTGAATTCGTTGAATTCAACTACAGTATCAAAACAAGATCAATGGAATTAGGAAAGAACTGTGCGAATTAAGAATCATATCTGAAATCGAGCGACTGGCGTAAGAACACTAGCTTGCCAATCAACTGTAAAAACGTAAATATCTTCAGAATTACGCTTCAAAAATGTTGGCTGATTATCATTTTCGTCAATAACATGAACAGCAACCAAACTTTGCCATGCATCTAACTTCGATTTCGCATCTGAATTTGAATTTTAAAAAAATTTCGCTTTTTTTAAAGAATGAAAATTCAACAGTTCTCCTAGAAATTTCTTAATATTTACAAAGCGCAATTCATATACTTATATATACTTGATGCAACACTATCGTGACTACGCTATTTTAAGATTTAAGTAAATTTATTTATTAGCGGAGATGTAGATTGCTTCGATTAAGACCAAGTCTTATGAGAGCAGTATTCTTGATGAAAGTATACCTATAATTAAAAAGAAACTGGTGCCTAGAAATTTTTTAAGCAGATGAACTGCATATTAATGGATGAAACATTTATAATTTCATTACGACTAACATTCGATAATCGGATTGATCTGGCGTTTGCTGTGGAAATTGCTTTCAGTTATTGTAACATTAAGTACCACAAAATGTAAGCTTTTCACTTCACGATCAAGTGGACCATTAACATACAGCTCACCAGTATTCGGTTCAATTTCAAACTGATCTATAAATCTATTCGTTTAAATTTTTAAATTTTTTATAGACATAGTTATCTTTCGAATCCATCTATCTAAAAAATCAGGAAAAATTAGAAGAAAGTTTTTGCATCAATTTAGGAAAAATATTATTTAGAAAAGAAAATCAAACCTATTCCTTGAAAAATTTCATATTTATAAGGTTGCTTTTCACGCTCGCAATTCGAAGTAACTTTAATAAGTTTATGACGACCAGGCTGATTTTCATTTATTTCTGCACTGTATAATTTAGAATCAAATTTACAGTGCAAATTAAATAATGATGTTTCTGATGTAATGTCGATTGAAGGCTGGACATGATTGTCGTCTTGTTTATCGTCGATAAAAATATTCACCTAATAAATTTTTAAATCTTAAATTTTCGAAGATATTTCGAAAAATATAGAACATAAATAGCAAATTTCAAAAAAAAGAAAAGAACCACTGTAGTTGATTGGTCATTTCTATCATTTTGTGCAGTAACATTTAAAAAATGAAAGCGATTTTTCTCCGATTTTGTAGGTAATCGGCCAAAACTGATTATTCCATCATTAGAAATTTCGAACAATCCAGAGAGAGAATCTGCAAAACGTTTTATTAGTTTATAATTCCCCAACTATAAGATTTAGCAACTTCATTTTATTTATTTTTATCAACACAAAAATAGTAGAAAACTGTGATATAAAAAAATTCTTTAAAGAATAAAGTGTACAACCATACTATTTCTCAACCGAGGTTTTATTTGGGAAATAACTGAGCATTTTTTTTAATGATTCACGATGATTCATGATAATAGATATTGTATCAAAGATATATGAAAGGAAAGGCAGAATAAGCTGCAAAAAAGTGAAAACCTGATAAAGAATAATTCATAGGAGAAAGGCCAGCTATAACTTGAGCAACCTTTTTTTTTAATGCAACTTTCATTACTGTAACAGTATAAACATCGCTTTTAAATTGCGGAATATCGGAATTGTTGAATATTTCGATTCTCAACTAAATTAAACAACTCGATGTTTTGATTAAATGAAAAACATTTCACAATCCAAAAATTTTATGTTATTTGTTCAGTTCATTGCAAAACTTCTTACACTATGATGTTTTTTCAGTGAAGGCCGACCACTATCGCTAGCAATAACAGTTATATAATAAACACTTGGATTGCTGGCAGAAAAAGCTCGTTTTGTTATTATTGAACCATCTGAAATTTGCCTGATTCGTAAAGAATAAAAAATTGCATAATATTAAATATCAATCAAGAAATATGGTGAATAAATTTTGAATAAATCATATTTTTAAAATTTATTTCGTAATATATAAAATTGTTTATATCTTTTAAGTCATTAATTTTAATTTTTACTTCCACTTGCCTTCCTCAATAACAAGCATAAGATAAAACTTAATTCTTTCGTCGATTACAAAATCATCGGTATGATTGAAAAGTGAATAATGAATGTCTCCATATTTCCCTTCGTCTGCATCTTCAGCATGAACTGTTGCAATAATCACATTTGGTGGAGAATTTTCAGCCAATGGAATTACAAATGGAGGATCAATGAATGTAGGATAATTGTCGTTAACATCCAAAATTTTCACACGTATCAGTGCACTTCCAGACAATGGTGGATTACCATGATCGGTTGCCTGAATATTTTCCATCCATGGCGCTTCATTATTAATTAATTTTTTATTCATTTATTTTATTTTATTTTTTCTGAGAGCACACTCACCATTTCCGAGTTTTGGGTTTCACTGGCTCCTTACAAATTTTGCCAAGATGAGCCACCAGCATCACTTTTGAAGGACAGTTTTATTCCCACTAAAAACCCGGCTCCGAAATGAGAGTGATACATTAAATAATACATTAATAATAATTTGATACATTAATAATTTCTAATAATTAAGTTGTAATAAATTTCCGACGACAATTTATGTGCCAAGTAAGGTAAAAGACTTTGAAATCATTATATTCGAAAAATTAATTGTTGGTGCATATATGGTCTATACAGAAAATAGAAGTATCATGAAAATAAAATCTTAATAATTTACTTACCAAAATTTTAAATTTATATTCATTTTGTTCCTCTCGATCAATATTTCCAAAAATTATAATTTCTCCACTGGAATTTTTTACAAAAAATGGTAAATTTGGTTGTTCTGCTTCGATACTATAGCTTAACAATCCCGCGTAGCCCTGAAATTTTTTTTTTTATAAAGTAAAATTTTTTATGCATGTAAACGAATAAAGAATGCAGTCTCAACAGTACCCGAGGTTATTGCGAACCTGAATGAAAAAATACCATTCTTATGTTCACTAACTTTTAGCTGAAATTTATTAATTCTATAAAATAAACAAAAAATAAAAACAAAAAAATATTTCTGTTGATATTAGCAATACCTAGACTAAGGCCAATGGATCACATTTTTGTAATATTTATTATGTGACATGGCACTTATACTTTTACATTTCATTTTGTGCATTTAGAATTCTGAAGAAAAGTTTGTAGCTTTTATCAGATTGCCAAAGGTGTCAATGGCATAAAAAGGATAAAGAACTCCTAGATTAAGAAATTCACAGGTAGTTTGGTCGTTTCAGTGATACATTGGAAAATAATAATTTTCAATGATAGATAACGATTTTATGACAGCCAATTATCAATTTTTATTTTTAGCCGAAAAAATTACTTGATCTGGATCGAAAGCTTGAATATCTGGCGGTTTCATAGAAAGAACTGCTCCACTCTCATAGCGACCTTCTGGCATTAGTGATATATATTCTTCATGTGGAAAACTTGGCATTCGATTATCTCCAGTCAGTGGATTGCTTATTGGAGAATCTAAGAGGATAATTTCAAGATAAACTGACAACTGTAAATCTCTTAATATAAAAAAAAAGAAACAAAAAAAAGAAACATATATATATATACAGAAATATACATATACTTTATTATAAAGAATATTTACTTACCGCTGCTAATATTTTCGGTAGTTTCTGGAGAATTTTTTTGGAATGTTAAAATAAGCCGCAATTTTTCCATTTTTCCATTTAATTCTGCTCTAATTTCAGCAACAATTTGGTCAGAATCATCAATCAATCCTTTATTTTTTAGATCATCAAAGGTGATTTTTCTTTTTGATACCAAATCTCCTTTCGTGTTAATATCGAAAAATTGCGAAAATTCGCGATTAACAAAGCTATACTTAATATTGCATATGTCACAACTACATTCCACTGGAACTGTATATAGAATTCCTTCTTGAATAATATTAGATAATAGAGAAAATTTTTCTTCAACTTGCAGAAAGCGCATAGAACAATCCTGAAATTGCAATATTCAAGAACAATTCAAAAGTTGTGCCAAGTTTGACTTTCTTTCTGAATAAATTTTTGGTAGAAGTTTGATTCGATATAAAAAATTAGGTCAACAAATCATTGTAGAAATAAGAATAAATAATGGCCCAAACAACAGTTTGTTGTGAATAAGAAAGATTTTAATAAATTTACATTTTCCGATTCAAGAGTTGTTGTAGACTGCTTTCGTACTGATGTCATAGAATGAATTGACGAGGTCAGAAACACTGTTAGATTTACATCATTAGAACGACCAACTCCATTTCGATCTGTTGCTATTATCTGAAATATTAGAAATCACAAATTACTTTTCTTTTCTATGTTATTTTATGATTAACTGGATTTAACTGTTAAAGGAAACAGTTAAAAGATTTTGCATGGGTATTGGTGACCTATCGGTATTTTCATCGCGAAATGACTTCCTGGCACCAAACAACCAGTAGAAAGAGCTTTAACCATAAATGATCAGCATTAAACACTTATTTGCTTAATTAAAAGATTCGTATCAAGTAGGAAAAAGAAGAATTTCAAGAATGTCTCCATGGCTTATGTGATTTACCTTGAGTAAATAATGATTCTTCATGTTATAATCGGCCTCACAAATGAATGTTAGAGAAGCGTCTAATGCATCGATATGAAAACAGCCAGCATCAGGCCCATCAATCGAATAATGAATCTTAGCATTTAAACCGCTATCAGCATCTTTTGCTTTCACTCCCTTAATTAATAGAAATACTGCAAGAATATAGGGAAGTAAGACATGAATAATATAAACTTATCCCTTGGATATAAATATTGGCTAATAATTTGTTGACTAGCTAATAATGAAATAAGACCCCATTTGAATCGATTAAACAGATAGTAAAAGGTTGAAAAAAAAAATATTTGGTAGAAATTTAGCATCAGGCAGTTAGGAATGGATTTATGGATTATTTTATTACCAAAGGTATTTTGAATGGTGGCAATATTGAATCAGGAATTATTGCGGTATATTCAGCGCGATCAAATTCAGGAATATGATCATTGATATCTTTGACAAAAACAATGACGTTAGCAAACGATGTTAAGATAGGAGTACCGCTGTCAGTTGCAACTACTAGAAACGCATATTGTTGCCGATCTGCTGAATATTTTAGTGGCTTTAAAGCGATCAAAGTTGATTCCTGAGAATATTTCGAGATAAGCAGAAGAAATTAAATAATTAAATATAGACACTGAAAATTATTGCACTTTAGAATTTAACCGTTTGATCGATTGCAAAAAGGCTTCTATATGATTTTGGTTCAATAGTAAGCGTGACCAGATCGTTATCCGGATCACTATAGGCAATTTTCCCAATCCTTCCATCTTTTCCTTCATTCACAGAAAATTCATACGAATTCGACTTGAATATAGGTGGGTGATTAAGTAATGGTGTACTGAAAAGACATTATCTAAAGTTTTTTTGTTTTCCATTATAAACATCTTTTCCACTCGTTATTTTTATATATTTTTCTAAATGTATAAAAAATAAAAAATTAATTTAATTTAAACTTTTACTAACAAATTTTTATTATTAAGTTTTATGAAAGTGGTAATCGTATGGAATAATGGTCTATAATGGAATAATAAAATTTTTTAGAAAACCAGATTTTAAAGAACTTTTTGTTATATCTGAATATATTTGATTTTCTATATTGCATCTTTTCACTTTTTACTTGACCTAAATGCAACTGTTTTCTGGATTCCACTTCCCTAATATTCTTACTCGTAACAGAATTTTGAATCTTATAAATTTTCTTTTGATTTTACGTTTATTTAAATAAACAAGATCGACTTACACCGACGAAAAATTGCTATCAACATCATATAAGTTAATTTCAGCCGTTGCAGATGAAGCGTGAATGCCGTCTGAAGCTTCGATTTGTATCGTATATGACCCTGAATTTCTTTCTGAAATTGGTTTAATAACTGATATTGTCCCTGATGATTTGTCGATAGAAAATATCGTGTTATCATTTTTGATGCGATAGATTATTTTAGAATTTATATCCTTATCTTCAGCGGTAATACTCAATATTGGAAAGCCTGCTGGAATGTTCAGTGGCACCTGCAAAGAAGATAAGTCATTTTTCAATAAGGCCAGCGACTGAAGTTTTTATACTCCTTTGATAATAATAAAAAAATCCTGTATTAACCAGCCTTTTGCTTATAAATATTCTTAGCGAAAACTGGAGAATTGTCATCAATATCAACGACATTGATTAAAAGAGTGGTTACTGTAACCAGTGGCGGTAAACCATGATCTTTAACTTCAATCGTCAAAAAATATCTTGGCTGTAATTCTCGATCTAGTTCAGCAACAATGCTAATTTGAGCCTAAAATAAATAGTACCTAAAGAAAATTTGCATAAATAACAAAAAAATGAGAATACTTGTTCGCAATTATCATAAAGATTATTGTCCCTGGCAAAAGTGAATCTGCCATTAAAAATCCAATTAATGCTGGGGATCTAATCATGATTCCATAAAGCAACAGCAAAATTACCTCACCCTACTAATGGCCAGTGAACCGAGCCAAATCATGAACGCTAAACACATGCTTAAGTTTTCCAAATGTGGAGAGAATAAATAATTGTCTTAATGGTCATATTTACTGACTTCATTGTTTGGCAAGGATAGTAGCTCAAATAATTTAGCTTCATTGCCTTGTATAATGTTAAATTCTACAATTCCATTAGCACCAGTATCGGGATCTTCTGCGTTTAATATAAATGTTGAACCAACACTTTCTGGTCCTAAAATTTTATTTTTTAAATATTTTTTGATTTTTATTTAAATTAACAATGAAGCATGCTGTTAACAAATACCTTCAGTAACATTCCATATAAACATTCTTTGTATTTTGGGTGCATTATCATTGACATCGATGATGAGAATCCTAACTTTTGCTCTCGTCTAAAGAATTAATGTTGAAATCATATTGAATAATGAAACAATATCGGTCGATTCCGCCTTATCATGAAGGCAAATTGATAGAGAAATGAAAAACATGAAACATGAATTTAAAGATGTTTCGTTGTAAAAAATCATGAAAATGAAACTAACGCTTTTTCCACCCGTGTCATTTACGACGACAACAATACGATATTCGCTATTCAATTCTCTGTCAAATTGGCCAATGCTTGATTTATAAATTGATCCATTTTCTTGAATTTCAAACAAAGAATTGTTTTTACCTGAAATAATGAATGACTGGCTTGATCAATGAATCGAACTGCTCAATGAAATGAGTTATTTATTTATTATTTATTTATTAAATTACTATAAATAATCATAGATTTCCGTCGACTTTTTAAAATTATATTTACATATAGCATCATAATATTCTTCATTATTCCATTACTGGCTAGGCTGACTTCGTTGGCTACAAAGGTAAGATGTCTACAAGCTCCTCAGTCCGACGCCATTGCTAGTAGTAATATTTTAATATTTTACCATTATTTAGAATAATAATACGAACAAATTCCACATTTTTCACACTACCAAAAATAACTGTAATATACCCTCGATGATAATAATAATACCTGATAATAATAATAATAATTAATAATACCCTCGATGCTAAAACGAAGATGATTCGCATCCGAATAATCTTTATCATTTGCCTTTACCTTACCGATAAATCCACCAGCTTCAATATTTTCAGTAACATTAAATTCATAACTATCTTGATCGAATTCAGGTGAAAATTCATTCACATCATCAATTTTTATTTGAACTTTAGCAGTTGCTTTATCTTGTTGTTCATTTTCAGCGTTGAGCTGAAATTCCAAAAATAATTTTATAGAGAATGTATCATATATCACTTATCAAAGCATCACTTTTAATAATAGAATTTTACTTAATTTAATGTTTACTTCCATTATTTCCACTAAGAGAGAGGAACTGAACCTATGATGATTTGGCTTGAATCGAAGAAAGATAAACCACAATGTTTCTTATAGAAAACCATGAGAAACAAAACCCAACTTCTAATTCGCTTAGCAAACAGAAAGTAGAATAAACTGAAAATCATACACTTAATTCAATAATTCCATTGGGAAGAAAAGTTTCAGCATCAATCACGACCAACGATTTCACAACACCATTGTCATCGATTGAAAAAAAATTTTGTGGTTTTAGAGTATATTTGATTTTTCCATAAGCTACATGATTATTAACACTTAATGTTCCATTTAAGATTGTGCCTGCAGGCATGTTTTCACGTAGATGAAGTCTATAAAGCTTTATCGGAAAGGCAAATCCATCTGATATGCTTATTGATACCTAAAATTTTATGAAATCATAAAATTTTATCTATATGATCTAAAAATTTGTTTAAAAAGCGAAATAACTTATATAAAAAAGGAAATTTAAAAGAAAAAATGCTGAATAATCAAAACGTACTCCAACATCGGAATAATACTGTCGATAATCTAAATTTTGAGCTCTAATAACAATAAAAAGAGTTGGTTTGTCACGATGAGCATTAACAAACTCTTCATATACATATAATTTACCCTGAAATGTTCTCGATTAGTCATAGTACAATATTTTTGAGATTTAATAAAGAATTTGACTCTAAATATAGCTATTGTTATTTTTATATTACAATAACTTATACCATTTCGTATGTTATGTTTAATTTTTTAGTCCTTTTTAGTTCAGTATTTAGTCCTTTTTGAGTCCCAATAATATCAAAAAAGAAAAACTTATGGCCAAAATTCGGAAAAATGGGACTTTATAAGTCATCGCAACCGATCATATCAATGGTCCACAAACTATTTTCTATGGATATCTTGGGATCCAGCCTGATCGGAATTGTATACTCTTATTTCATAATTAACAAATTACCTGTGATTAATTTTTTCAATTTTTATATTTATTCAAAACTCTTAGGTGAAAAAATAAATTTAATAAACACTTTAAAAGTTTAGAACTTGAAAATACTGCACTTAAGATCCATGGATTTTTATGGCATCATCTAGAGGATCTATAGAAAAAATTTTTAAAATAATTGCGGACTATATTATTCAATCCGCACTATCATAATATTTTAAACTACTCCTATAATATTTACGTATTGCATGTTCAGTTATTTACGGCTATTGTTTCAAAGTCTTATTCAATATTCGTAGATATACAAAACGGTGAAAAAAGCATACAGTATTATTTTCAAGCTTTAATCCAGGTGGATTTGTTGGAAAAATACTATAAATAATGCTACCATGTTGAAGGACAGCTTCGAACATGGTAATTAGTATTGGGAATTCCGCATTTTTTGGTACCTGAAAACAAATATATTTTTGCAATAAATGTTGCAAATCTTGGCTGAAAAATTTTATATATCAACTTACTCATGACGTGTTTAATACCAAATTTAATACCAAATTTATGATTTACCTCAATATCATACGTAAGTTGTGGAAAAACTGGATATTTGTCGCGATCGGCCATCACCACTACCTCTAAAACATGCTCAGCATGGGCGTTGCCAGCGTCTGCACTTATTTTTATGGTATAATTGCCTTCAAGAAGCTTTGATTTCACTCGAAGTTCACTGCCAACCATTTTGAAAAAATCTTTTCCGCCTAATTCTTTTGCAGAAAATTCAACTGGAATGGTCATCCGAGTTGTTGAAGCCCTATATTTCCATAATTATATTCAATTATCATTGAATTATCATGTTATATGTTATTGCAATTATATACGGCAATTATATACTCCTATCTAATCTTTTAAACGAAATAGAAGTACCAGCAAGAAAATTGATATGATTTAGGCAAGGGTGTGCAGAAAAAAAATTTCTAATTCGCCCAACATTAGGATGAATAAAAGCAGTAATAAAAATAAAAAACCTTAAAATAAGCGATCCTGGAGGCTTGGACATTGAGATAAAAATCCTTTTAGGTAGTGGTAAGAATGAGATTAATTGTGTATTATTCGATATTATGTTGATTTTTACGACGGTTTGTGCTCTTCGTGGGAATATCGGTGATTGGTCGATAGCTTCAACGAGGAATTGTATCGATGAGCTTTTTTCTGCTGCCAAACGAATTTTTGTCGACAGTTGACCAGTCTGAAAATGATTTTAACGAATAAGCAAACTTTCGGATATGATAAGTTGAAATTGGAAAAGTGGAGTTTTACAATGAATGTTGACAACATACCGTTGGATTAATACTGAATTTTTCAAGCTGGTTCAAAGCCTGCGGATCATCTGTATCAGCAAACCGATAAGTAATCTGGCCTTCCGGTCCTGGGTCTGGATCGTTCGCATGTAGTGTGACCAACACAGACCCAGCTGGCACAGGGGTAAATCGAGTAATTTCATAGTTGAACTGAAATTTGATTATATATTATCAAAATACTTTATGTCATTTAATAAGCAAGCTCGAAAACCAAACAAAAATTATGAAAGAAAAAAGACTTGATCGAATTCTGGTGCCGATGGATTGCTGCCATGAACGACAATAAAAATAGTGGTAGTGCCTTTTTGCGGAGGAGATCCGTGATCAATCGCTTCAACAACAAGATGGTATTCACTTTCTTCTGTGAATTTACTTACGGTAGTGATAATTCCATTTTCATAATTAATCGCAAAAAAACCTAGGAGGGATTAATTAAAACATAAACATAAAAACAAATATTAAGATTTTTTATTTCTTATCTAAATCATTTTTCCATTTACTCAACCAAATTGGCCGCAAAATAAAAATTTTTTGGTGCTATTTGACAATTTTGTACTGATTAACTCTGATTATTTCTTTTATAAAACTAAAACTAACCAGATGGTGTTATTAATGCGTAAGTTATATCTGCATTGTTGCCTGAATCAGCATCGCTTGCTTTCAGATATGCAACTTCTGTTCCTACAGCAGCGTCAAGAGACAAATCGACCGTATATAATAATTTATCAAATTTTGGGGCGTTATCATTTTCGTCAATGACAGATACAGTAACATTTGAAGTGCCACATAATGTTGTATTGTGTAGAAGACAACCATATACCTTAAATGGATTTTTAAAAAAAATAATCTAATTTTAATGATAACTTTTGAAACTTGTGAATACCAAAAAAATCATTGATAAAATGGAGATAAAACAAACGCTAGAAAAAAATTCAAATGGGTGCATATCCACAAATTCATGGATAAATAAGTTATAGATAATAAATAAATTAATAAATTTTTTAACTTTCATGGAAAACTGTGCCTTCTTTATTATAGTTATTTGGTAATTTTAAAATTTTTCTACAAATCTCAAAAGAAAAATGCAGCGAAATTTATAAATACTTTTCTCATATATATGCAAACTTAATGCAAAAAGCCGTACTTACTTGAAAGCCGTAAAACTTCCTTTCTTCATAATCAAAAGATTTTAAACTGCTGATCTCACCACTTTGATTATTTATCGAGAAATATCGAGCATCAAAATCGGGCATTATTTTGTACAAAATTTTATCCTTTCCTTCCGAAAGTAGCATATGATAAGCCTTAATCATTATTTGTTATCCATCATATATGTATTAAAAATTCCCTTTCACTCCCTGGGTGGTATGAATAACCTCCACTCTTTGTCGGAGGTTTGCGAAATTGAGATAAGTTAGATAAGCTTTCAGGAATATCTTGCCTCTCAATCGCAAATATAGAGAGGATTGGTTGGGACTGGAACTTGTAGTTGTTGCTACATTTGCATTCCATATTAATGGTCCACCTAAATCACCACGCTATTCGGGCGCTATATATATATATATATATATGTGACAAAAATTGCTCTAATGAAGCTAAAACCAAAATAAGAAAGAGGTAATTAAAATTTTCGGCAGTAGAATGGCCTGGATGGGTTGTTGCTTTCTTATTTCAAAACACCGGAAGGAATAAACTTATTACCTGTACAGTCCCAATTGCTTGCGGCGAAACATTTTCAGAAATTACAAATTGATATCGTTGATTATCAAATCGAGGAGAAACCTGCATTGAAATATTTAGATGCACGGTTACCAAAGTCTTTGCCTTAAATGTCTTAATATTTAGTATTTTAGTATAGTATAATGTCTTAATTTAGTATGATATAATGTCTTAATATTTACTTTTCACTGAAGATGAATGGCTCTATAATTTTAAAAAAACTGGAAGGTTTTGCAAACCCATCATTATCCCTTCTATCGGCAAAGGACGGTTTTGAGAGAGGGACTCATCTTACTAGTTAGCGAGTGGACAAACTCGCAAGCCTAGAATTTTTTACCTGCATGTTGAGAAAATAAAATTTTTCCCACGAAACCTTGCTTGGGGCAAAGATTATTCAAGTCAAGATGATGATAGAAAATGAAAATGAAAAAAATTTATTTTGTTTAAAATGTCGAAAATCCGATGGTTACCGCAGGCTGTTAGGATGGATGTGCAAAGGTGAAATGAATAACTTACGAATAAATAAACATTTATTAAAAACAGTCGAAGAGTGCCCATAAATTAACATGACCACGATTAAGCAATAAGGTCTCAATTGTGGAGCGTTGCTAGGTGAATATTTTATTTGCAGTTCGATACAACTTGCATAGATACAACGAATGGGTCATTTGCACTGCTTCAAAACTAATGGTAATAATAAATATTGTGTTACCTAATAATTTCTTAGCAAATTTATTGATTTCCACGTTGTTCTGGCTCATATCGGAATTGGCTTATATCATGTATATTGCACATTCAATGATTTTTTCCTATTTACTTTTAATTTCTAATCAATTTTTCCTTCAAATCGAAAGGGAATCGCGAAAAAGAAAAGTGCATTTTTTAGTACTAAATTCTATGTATCAATTATTGATAAAAAAGATTTTATCACGAGTTTCTCCCATTTCTCTCTCTGAAATTCTTTTTGAGCGTTAAAAAATATAATGAAGGCAGTTAGATTACATACAATCTTGTTAAAATAAATGACTTACAATAATTAGATAATTTCGATAATCAGCTTAGATAATTATTTCGATAATTGAACTTCTGTTGAAAAACTAGCTTTTCGTCCTTCATTAATAAGAAAGTTGTCAGTGGAAGCAGCAAAGAATTTGCTTCGCAAGATAAAATATTAAATTTTAAAGTCGAATCTAACCTTTTGGTGTGTATTCAATTTTGAAATCGCTTGAACTATGAATGTTATAAAATCTTCATTTTTTATTTGCGAGAAATTCGTTACGAAAATATCGCCTGTCGTTTTATTTATAGTAAAATGCGTTGCTGCTTGGTCATCAACACTATATTCAATTTGATGGAATAATGTGTCGTTTTGGATTTTTACGGTTCCAATAAATCTATCCAGATTATCCAATTCAAATTTATATTCTGGCTAAATTCTGACATCAGCTATTTTGCAGAACAACAATATATATGCAAATTTATTCACTGAGAAATGAACTGAGTAGAGTGGAATAAACTATGATGAAGGCATTTCGACAATTACTTGAACTAACACCTATTGTTAAAGACTACCAATTTATTAATTGATAATCAATTGAAAGTAAAAAATTTTTTGAGGAAGATCTCACCACCAGTGAAGGCTGCTAATTAAAGTTTTTTATACTGCAAATAATCGTTAAAATAGTCAAAAATTATCGAAAAATTAAAGTTTTTTGGTGGAAATTGCATTTCAGAATTCGTCAGTTAATCTTTTTCATTGGAGAAAAATAAGGAATACGACAATAATACGTTTTCTGTCAAGCACTAATATCTCAGAAAAAAATTATCTTTAGATTTGATTATAACTTGATTATTACAGATTTGATTATCGAATATTCCGAAATTGCGGAAGTTACTCATGTGAAGGTGACAAATGTGGGAATAATTGAGCGAAATGCTTAGACTTAGACTAAAACCAATCCATCACAGATTCCATTTCTGTATGTTAAATTGTTTGGTGGAACATATTATTAAAAGTAAAATTTGCGTGGTTTTTGTCAAAAAATCTATATTTTTATCTCTAAAGTAATTTTTTAGAGAAGGATTTCATCAGCAGTGAATGCTACAAACGATGAGTAAGAATGAAGAAGAATCCATATTTATAACTAATTTCAATAAAATTTTTAGGAAGAGACTTCCAGTACACCTTAAATTAAAGATAAGCAAAGGATAAGCAAAGATAAGCAAAATTAACTTAAGTCTAAAAAATTTGTTGGCCCTTTTACTTTTGTTGAATTATTTTTGATCTTTTCAAGAACGGTGATGTCTATACATTTAAATGACAGATTTGGACAACAATTTATGATTACTGATAATAAATGTACGAAGAACCTTGTTAAATTCCATATGAATGTCACTGCTGAATTCATTCATCAATAATGATAAATTATATTTTTGTGAATCGTTCAATCGAAATTCATTGAATAAATTCATGTTCTTTAAAACATATCCAATTTTATAATTTTTTTTAAAATTTATCTCATGAATTATAATTAAAACTTCTGCGATAACTTCAACTATCTCCAACTAATTTCTTTATTTGCACAAAACGCTTAGAATTATTTCCAGAAAATTTCGCTTTTTATTGATACACAACCTAATAAGCATGTGATTAAAATGATATGAATTTCTTGCCTTTAATAACAAAAAAAGAGATATTCATGAAAAAGAAAGTGGAAAAGTGGAATAAAGTGGAATATGAAAATAAATAAAAAAAATTCAGTGTGATTTTGGAGGCAAATTAAGAAATTTTCTTCTCCGAAATTTTTATTTTTTTATGTATTTATAATTTCCTCATTTATTTAAAATCCCAATATTTTAACAGAAAGCTAATTTTATGGAAATAATGAATAAAAGGCAACAACCAAACGATGAAATTATCTCAAGAGATAGTGGCTAATTCTCACCTTATCTGAAGCATTATCGACTGGATCTTTAAAATGCTGTTCTTCGAATTTTTGTATGAGCGAATAGTTTGAGATTTTCGTTTTACCACTAATGATCTTATTTTCTGCTGAATTTAAAGGGTCGTTCATAATTGAAACTCGAATATTTGCAATTCGGCAAAACTGTGGATTTGGATTTTGAATAGTGCCATTAACCTATATTATTAAATTTAAGGTTTCTTGGATTCAAAAATTATACATAAATATACATAAATATATATAATTTGCCTGGTATTTTTCTGGAATTTACATAAAAGATTTGATTTTCCTACCTTGACCATTGCTGAAAAAAGGATTTCATCCCTCTTTTGGAGCGACAAATCACCTTTTAGAACGATCACGCCTGTCTTACTGTTAACTTCGAAAAGTTTTGCACCATTTATTAAACTGATTTCGACATCATCATTCTGAAAAATTATTGAATTTATGAACAAATCACCATGCAAACAAAGATAATCGATAATTGATATCTCGTTTTGTTAAAAAAAAGAAACCTGGTTTCTGCCTGCTACGATCAGTTTCGTAACTATTGTTCCTGGTGGAGAATTTCTATGCAACTTTTCCTTATAAAAGCATGGCTCGAACTTAACAACATGATCAGTAGGCGTTACTTCATTCAACCAGATAACTGCAGTATCAAACTGCTTTGGATTGTTTTGTTGTGATGCCTATCAAATTATTTTAATTATGATAAGATTCCATTTCCAGGAATAATTTTTAAAAAAAAAAGACTATAATTTTTGATTAGAACAGAATAAAATTCAAATTCAAAATAATCTTTCATTGAATCCACTAATTTTACTCAAGATCTTGATAAAGACGTGACCGCCTAATGCACAATTCAAAAATTTGACAGTATTAGTAATGATAGAAAAGACCTTTATAACGAGACTTTTAATGGAAATTGATTGAGGTGGAATTGCAGAAACTTTGATTAAACCCGTTTTTGCATCAATTTCGAAATATTCGCTATATGTATCGTGATCTATAGAATAAATAATTTGATCATTGATATCCCTGTCCCCATCGTGTGCCTCAAGCGGTATATCCAATTTCACTATTGAATCAATTATCTAGAAAGGTAAAAATGAATAATTGCTAAAAATATTATTTAACGAATCAGAACAGGAATAAAAAATTCAAAATCTTTTAAAAAATTAGAATAATTTTTATCAGTTTAATTTATTTAAAAAAAATTATTTGAAACACTAAAGGGAATAGAGGTAAAATATCAAATTTTCAATCAAAATACCCTTCATCTTTTTTATAATTTCTACAAAAATTTTATATATTTTATAAATATGATAGAAGATAAATGGGATAATTTTACCCTCGAAAAATTAGCTCGATGCTCCTTTCGACTGAATTTTGGTGGAAGATCATCAACATCAGTGACTTGAATATTTAGTGTAGTATAATTTATTAATTGTTCTTCACCACTATCCTGTGAAATTTCTAGATTTTTCTTGGACAAAAGACAAAATCTAAAAAATTCTTCAACAAAAAATTTAGTTAATCAGAACCCGAACCTTTGCTGAAATGTTTAATAAAATATGCCGCTTATCATCGTCATAATCTAGTTTTTTGACAAGAATTAAGCGCAAAATTGGCGGAAACTGCTCTATTGCCCAATTGCTTAGTGATTTTATTGGCAAGGCTTCTGGTCTATATAAAGCATTATTGGTGCGATCGATTTTGAAATAATTTTCACCATCCTAAATTATAACTAAATTTAACTAAATGTAACTAAATTTTCTCATTTTATAATAGAAAAAGTATGTAAAATATTATAATATGGCCAATTAAGCCAAATGCAAATTCTCATTCAAAGTGAGATAAGTTAATAAGTTTTTATATCGATAGATAGATTATAAAGCCTAAAAATTGGGTTTTAAGAAGTTCAACGATAGATTTACCAAGATTTCATAAATGACTTGATACTTCGGATTTGGATCCCAATCAATCGCTAAAACGGGAGTTTCTATTCCAGTTCCAATCGAAGTTGACTATAAAGAAATTGTTTTCAAGTTTAATAATGGATTAAAAAAGTACAAATTAAATAATAAAATATGTAGCAAATATTATACTTTTTTTCTATTAATTTTTTGGAACTAACTTCACTGACGTTGACTGTATAAGGTAAATCACCGTAGAACTGAGGCGAATAGCGATTAATATGTTTAACTCGTATTGTAAACAACTGATAATTTTCTTCATTGCAAATCAGAATAACAGACAAATTAGTTTCCTTAACTGTTGAAGGAAACATCGGAAAACTAATAGATTTAACGAGAATCAGCGAAAATTCAAAGCCATTTTTATTCAGAATGAAGTATTCCGTAAAGTTAATCTAAAGCTATTTTTTCGTTTTAAAAAAATCGAAATTAAATAAATTAATTAATTAAATCAAATAAATAAATAAATTAAATTGTTGCTTATAATTCGAGTTTTTTCGATTTACTATGTTTTGAAACAATTACTTCAGCAAGATTCTCCGATTGAATGGAATCGATGGAAAGATTTGCATTGTTTGGTTCGACAATCGATGACAAGATGACAAGTCCTGGATGAGCATTTGTTGTTAAATTGAAAAGAACTATTTTTGAATCGAATTCGGGAAAATAACATCCTGAAAATGCTACTACTACTGTAAATATAAATAAATTTACGAAGAGAAAAATTTATCAAGAAAGAAAAAAGCGTTAGATATATAACTTACGATTGTTTGTGAGTAATTTTTTTAACTATTATTTGATATCACCTTATAAATTAGAGCAATTGTAAAAAGTCGAAAAACGAAACTTGCATACTCATCGCATTTCTTGCTTTGCAGTCATTAAAGTCTTCTCGTCAGAAAAAAATTGTTGAAATGAATAATCAAACAATACGTAAACCTTGTTTTTCTAATGATCCATTTGTGCGAGATCGAAGCAGTAATACAAGCAATAATATAATTTCTAAAAGCCTCTGCCATCTGTTTTCCATAGCCTGTGAAATATGTTGATTTAACAAAAGTATGGTTCACTGATCTGAAGTAGGATAGCCTTTAGTCGAGAGGTAATTTGTTCGAGGTGAAAGATAAAGTTGAGTAAAGCTGATATTAAAAGTGAAATTAAGATTGTTCTGCAACAGAATTCACGTTTCTATACCTAATATCTTTGCCTGATATCCTTTAGAAAAACAATTCCATTTCCAAATTGTCAATAGAACCAACGAGGTCAGAAATGATGGATCTTATGATAAAAATGGTTTTTAATAATGCGGGTATCTCAATTTGACGACGAATGCAAATCAGTTATGATTATGGATTTATGGAATAATTTTAAGAAATTTCACGAGGATTTTCAGCAAAAAAGTCGAGAAAAGCAATAATTTTAATGAAATTAACAAATTAATAAGTTTAACAAGTAGTAATAGGCGTAATTGCTTAAAAATTTTTCTTCTAACTAAATAAGTTATTTTAGTCGAAATTTTATAATTAATAATATTTATGTCATTCGAACAAATTCGCCTTTTTTTCAACTTAGCAAATTATTATTGAAGCACAATAGTGATTTCTTCTATTTCGCACATTTAAAAGTCGAAACAAATAAGTAATAAAAAAGATTCAAAAAGTGGCTATCAACCGTGCAAATCTAGACAGCTATTCGAAAAAGAAAATGCCCTATATCAAAAAACCGACGCCAATACAATAAAACGACCAATCTAGCACATCTGCCAAATTTCCGAAATTGTCAAAAAATTCAGCAAAAAATTACCGCTAATTTTATTTATTTTCACACATTCTTCAGGTTGCTCACTCAAATTTATCAAAACGTTTGGTTTGTTTATGAAAATTGTCAAATTTACATAAAAAATAAGTAAATATGTATGAATTTCGATTCCTTCCTTCAATTATTTGAACTATTTCTCTCGTTCACAATATTTTTCAAGAACCTTCTGAGGACTTACGGCTTAAAATCCGTTTGCAATAATATTTACTAAACCAACTAACTTCACTGGAGATGAATATGAACATGAATATGAATATTAATTGAGTTAATTAGTGAATCTGCTTTGGAACAACAAAGCGTGTGTTTAAAAAATTTTGGGTTGACTTCAGGGAAGAATATCGCAGTCTATCAAATCGAGCATTATTTCCTTTTTTCATGACATATTTATTATGAGGCAACATTTTCCATATGTCGATGAAAGACAAAATAGGAGTAGCGTTAGCAGATTCACTAATTAACACATTCAATCGCGCGTGAACCTCGTAGTGATCAAGCAAAGAGAGATTAAATATTATAACAACAGTTCAAATTGCAGCCAAACACCTCAACCTGTTCGGTGAGGGTCATTGCGCGAGGTCCTTTGACTGCCTTAGCTCAACTTCCCAGGCCTCTAGCAGAAAAGGGCGAGGGCGGTGTTCTCCTTCATAGATTTAACCCGGTATGAGGACTCGCCTATCTGACAACCGCATTATCGAGAGAAATTCGAAGGATCGGTTTCGCAAAAACCTTTCTTTTTTCTAAAGTATAATGGGTTGTTAATGTATTTCTATGGAAGTGCTATATTCAGACTAAGCTCAATGCACAATAATTTTCGAGTTTTTCCTAATTTTCAAGTAAACACTTGAAGAAGTATTTGTTTGCAAATACTTACAGCTAGCCACAAATTCAATTCGATTCCAGGCAGAAAAAGCTTGCATGCTGTAAAAGACAGTGGCGAAATCACTACAAAATGCGCAGTTTTTGTCTAAAAACGCCGAAAACTAAAATTGCCAAGCAATGATAATGAGAAAGCTGATAAGCATCGGCATTAGGGAAACTTTAGTCCAATATTGGGAAAAGCCGTCGAGTAGGAAGAAAAAGCAAATAATGGGATAGTGAATAGCAGAATGAAGCGATTCTCGAAGCAAATGCTTTATACGAGGAACGACGAAGGAAAAACTGCTGAAGAAGAAATAAAGTCGCTTCGATATACTTCTAGTGAAAGTTTTTCACAGTGTAAGCTATTTCAAATCAGATTTTATAAATCTTACATTGCAACAGTTAATTCGGCGATGGATGATAGACTTTTGGGCGATAATCCAACGATTAGCGAGAAAGCGAAGAAGGAAACGGAAAAAATTTCACCGAAATGAATGTCAAATGAAAGAGGTAGGGATTAACCATATAAATCCGCACAGAGAGAAGCACCCCAATGTCCGAAGTCAATTTGCGTGGAGCGCGACGTGTCCAACGTGAAAGCATTTGTGAAGGGTTTTATGCAGAAAGATGCTTGGAAAATGGAATTAAAAAACTGATTGAAAGATTGGCAAAAATATTTGACACCTAAAAATTTTTAGATTTGTGAAAAACAGTGGTTTTCAAAATTCTCTCGAAATTACGCCGAATATAGGTACCAAACCAACAAGGCACTAAACAGTTTTGATCATCGCATTCCCTCATTTTCATCAAATTCTGCAAAGTGTGGAAAACTCGCCCTTATAGAATTCGCCATTTCCAAACATCGGACGGAACTCTCTATCGTAGAAATTTCAATTTCTAAAGATCAGACTGAAGACGGTGCTTTGTAGAGTTGGCTATTATTAAAGACCAGTTTTAATTTCGTATCCGCAAAAAGTACCACAGCTTATAAAATCTCCGGTCCAACTTTATGGTGAACCAAGGAGCAATAGTGTGGATTCTATGGTCCAAGATCTTTGAAAACTGGTCGGACTTGCAACAATTAAAAAAAACAATGATAAAGGAAAATTTAAAATTTTTTTATTTAAATGCTATCAACCAGGTTGATAGCTTTCTTAAAAATTATTGAATATTTTATCTTAAAAAATTCGGAGCGCCGATGCTGAGCTTCTGTTCCCCGCACGAGTGAAGCTGTCCAAAAATCCGGGTGATGCTGGCGACTCATGTGCACTTCTGTCGCCAAGGGATTCCCTCGCATATTTGTCCAGTGCGACAAGCCTGCAGGGCGAGTTTGACCGGTAATGTTGACTTAGGAAAAAAAATTCAATGATTCTTGAAAGAGATAGTAAACGAAGGGTTTTGAGGACATTTTAGGCTAAAACTTTCCAGAAATTTTCCACGAAGCAATTAACGCGGTCAATTAATTTCCTTTCACAATAGCTTAAATACGAATTAAATTATTTCAAATTTATTTGTACTGCGACTGTTCAAATGAAGAATATTCATAAAATCGTGTAAAATCAGAGAATTTTGTTTGAATTTCGCTTGAAATATTTTGACGAAATAATGTCAAAAAAGAATTGCCATTTGTCGTATTTCAAAAAATTACTTTTAAACGATTTAAGCGGCTGAACTTTTACGATATAAATTTAAAATTCGAGCGACTTTTATAAATATTGGAAAATATTTGAATACTTTTAAAAGCAATGATTTTTGGACGATTTAGTATTTTTAAAGGGAAATTCGATGAGTTATTTTATTATTGCCACCTTATTCAATTATTTTTACTTAATAATACTGGTAAAATATTCCAAATTTCACAGAAATTTTTTAAAACGAAATTGAGAACTGCAACGAATCACAATGAAAATAATAAGTGGCGAAAAAAGAATGGATAGAAGAATGAATTAAGAACATTTAGGAAACAAAGAGTACACTGATGAAAAGAATTGTGGAAATCGAGTGATGTGACCAATTTAATGGACAACCGTCCACGAAAATATTCCGGTCGACGGGTCAAACAAATCGCATTCTCGCAAATTCGAGCACATCATCTGCACCATTCTTCTCGCAAACGTTATCTTTTAATCAGTCCTTTTACAGTGTGCTTTTCATGTAAATATGATTTGCTTCATTTTTTTGACTAGTTTTTTCTTTTTTCTATCATTCATCATAATAGAAATTAAGTTGCAATTAAGCTTATCCCACTTTGATTAGGTTCGCCCTACGGTAAGACATTTCGTCAATGGGTGATTAACGTTCGACCCCGTAGCACCACTCGGTCTTTCTTTCTTACAGGAAGTAGAGGACCGGAATAGAGAAGCACATCGCTCCAAAAGTTAATTCAAGCGACAACCATTTGGCTATCCTCCTTTCTTTAATAAAATTATTCATTCTTGTCTTGCAAAAGTACACACCAAAAGCAAATTTATCATTCTATATAAATAAAAAAAACATTAAATATAATAATAAAATAAAAGCAGAATTTACACTCACAATTTCTAACGATAGTACAAACGAAAATTCTGCTAACGTCTGCAATAATAATAATAAATTTACACTACACATAACAACAAACCGTTAAAAATAATATTTCTGAATTTCTGATTCAAATACTGATAGCATCAATATTGATAAAGGAAAATTTTAAAATTCATGGACTGTATTAAAGTCGCGATGGCTTAAACGAACAGCAAGTAACCAATAAGCCAAAAACAATTTGTTTTTGATTTTTCATAGAAGTAAAACATTATTTACGTTCTACCATGAGAATCCATGAGTTATTCATTTATCAAAAAATAATTACTATTGTAATTACCATTACTATTTATTATCATTAATACTTGATATTTAATACTGAATACATTAGATGAAATTAGTCGACTAATAGAGACGAATATTTTAAAGCAATTTCGAATTTAAAAAATTGTGATTTACAAAAATTAGTAAAGAAATAGCAATGAAATCGTCAAACTAAAAGATGAATTGTCTCCTGTTTGTTGTTTCCTTCGACCTTGAATTCCAACAAATTTTCTTCACTATTAATCTATTATAAATATTATATGAGCAAAATTGAAAAATATTTATTATATCGCTTCTGTTAAATTCAAATTAACTGATTACTGATAACTGATTACTTCACAAAATTCAATGAAATTCGCAAAATTGATTCATTTTATTAATGAAAAAGAAAAAAAGATCATCACTGAAGATGCAATTAATATTTCAGGAGTGTTAACGCTCAAAACAGAAATTTTTCTAACATATTTCTTGCATGAATACTTGAGCCATGCGATTCATAATTATAGTAAATATGTTCAGAAACCATAAAACAAACCATCAAAAAAATATATTTCTGATTCAAATATTGATAGCAATAACATTAATAAATGAAGGTTTTAAAATTTATGGACTGTGTTAAAATCATAAATCGAAACAATCAAAATGATTTTACGAAATTCCGTGGGACAACCTTCTCGAGAAAGCCAATTTTATAGCATTAAATTATTTGAGCAAAGATAACTTCGTAAAAACTTCATCTTACTAATTTTATTTTAAAAATTTCTAAAAAAACTTTAGGTGCCAAAAAAATTTTAAAAAGTAAAAGCATATAACTAGCACCAACTATTTTTGCTTAGGCTTAATCAACTCTTAGATGAGATAATTCTGCCAGAGAACCAACTGGAGACGGAAGCCCCTAGCAACACTAAAGACTCACTAAAAATTTTTTTCGAAATCACTCCTATTTAGTACAGGCCGAACCATAATGGTAGAAATAATTATGCAGATTGAGCGAAAATTCCGTCCTACTGCCATTCCGAGTGAAGTGAAATTAATATTATCGAATAATGAATGTCCTTAACAGCAAAACAGCTTTTCCAGAATTTCATTTAATTAGGAATTGAACCAATAAATCTTCAATAAAGCTCTATCCTTTCAAGAGTGCGATTAAGTAAAAACTCGATAAAAAAAGATTTTTTAGATTTTTAATAGCAATTCTCATTTCCAATCGCATTCACTCAACAAAATCCACTTGCAATATTATACATCCAAAACTTATTGACATCAAATCTCTTGTATTAAGTGGACAAAAAATCCCTTCTTGTCAACCAAGAAAGTACGTCGACATGAAAAGAACAAAAGAATCATATCTGAATCATATCTGTGGAGAATTATGAACCCCTTGTTACATCAACTCGTATTTTCTTTTTCAGCCATCAAACCTATACTGTCAACTGAGATTTATCAAATCAATACATGAAACAAAAGGTAATCCAAAATTATTCAAATTTTAGACACTTTGCGCGATGATGTTCATCGAACATAATTACGTATTAAAATTCATATTGTGATAATCAGCGTTGTCGGCAAAAAAAATAGTTGTTCACGAACGTTCCTAATTAAGATAAACTATTGCCTATCACCGCATTTTCAAGTTTTTCTAAATTTTCTAAATTTATAAAAATAACTGTAAAATAATTTCGAATTTAAAAGGAATAATGAACGACTGAATCAAACAGAATCCTTGGAACTTATATGAATACCCAAGAAAATTTTCATTCGAGTTAATATATTAGAGGCAATAATCAACAATTAATGATTTGATGAACGAAATGTTGTTAATGAAGCTAAAATGTAGTAAATGAAGCTAACTTTTCACCTAATATTATTACTGACTCACAATGTGCGTTATTCATTATCTGCAAATTAATGTAGTTAATATTAAATTTAATAAATAACTAAAGATTTGAGCAGTTAAATGATTATATGATTAAAATGAGAAAAAACCCAGAAAAAATAAGAGAAAAGAAACTAATATTTATAATTATTTTTCAATTTAATTGATTATAAACTATTTCCAAACAATTTTCACTGTCGATATCAATCATTTGAGAAGTTTCTCCAAAATTATAGTTTTCTGATATATTACTAAAGATCGGTCCACAAGATACTGTCGCTTGTAATTTAGTCGCTAATAGAAAAGATCCGGAAAGTTTTCGATGCAAAGAATAAATTTCATCTGGCGGAGCCTTCAATCTATGTTGCAGCATTACTGGTATTAAACGATGAATACGTTTTGTTACATCCTGAAAAATTGTCTACGTTGTCTATATAACAAAATATGTTGTGTGCTCTGGAAAAAAGTTAGACCATTGCTTCAGCATGCGAATTTTATTTTTTGAACAATTTTCTCAAGCCTTTAAATATTCTCTGATACTTCTAAAGCCTTATTGTATTCATTTCCCGTATTTTAATATAATGTCACCTTAAACCGCCTTCTGCAACTTTAACCTCTTTCAAGCCAATCATAATACCCTATTATTATGCACTCACCATCTTACCTATGCAATACATTTTTGTCGCAGCCGGAAATAATTATAAAATCACGATGAATAAAATACAACTGAAAATGAAGAATAGGTATGCAAGTAGCATAATTCGAAGACACTGAGACAAAAAAGAAGCCATGAATATAATGTTTGTTTTTTAGTGTCAAGAGAAAAAACATGGTTTTGCTTGTCCATAAGATATGCATTATAAATAGTTGCCAATAAAATATGCTACTTATTTAAATTTTTTTTTGATTACCTTACCTGCCGAGAAAAATCATAAGGTACAGTTGAAGCTAACGTTTCACCTAATATTATTATTGACTCGCAATGTGCATCATTCATTATCTGCAAATTAATTCCACATTTGCAAGCGAATATAATTAAATAGTTTCTATTCCAAGTGATGACAAAATCTATCGAATGATGACCGAGAAAAAAACTGGACCAACTTTGACCCGTCTATAAAAATTCAATATCACTAATATATTAAATGCATGAAACAAAGCATATTTCCAATACCACAGAAAAGGGATGGGACAGACTAACAGGGCATATAGCTCAAAAATAAGAAATTTCATAGTTTATCAAACTGACCTCCGATTCATAACCGGTTAAGAAGCCAATTTCTCTAGAATATTTCAAGATCTGAAATGCAAACGTTTTCAAAAACTTTCATAGGGAATTTTCACAAAAAAAGAATGGAAGAAAAAACCAATTCATATTAAAATTTATACATATGCATGCAGAAAATTTTTAACCACACTTTTTTTTTATCTTTTTTATATGCACCGCGCAATATATGCATATATGAGTCAATAAAATTTTTAGAATAAGATTTTGAAGCACCAAAATCCAGCAGGACCAATCGTGGTTCACCAGTTGTCGGATGGCGACCGAGAAAAAAATTGGACCAATTTGGATCCGTCTAAAAAATAAATGAAATAGAAAAAATCATTTAATTTTATATAGCTTTTCTAAGATTTTTTTCTCTTGATATTATTCGCTTCAAGAATATCCAATGAAACCATTAGAAATTTTTACTTGCATGAATCTCCAAATAAATATTTCTTTCATACAAAGTTCAATCAATTTCCGAGCAATATAATCTCTGACTTGTTGCTGTTCCTCAGCACATTTATCGAGTGGCATACCCTCCACAAAATCTGCTGTTAAAACTTGATTTGTTGTTAAATGATCAACCACCTGCAATGAACCAGAATTATGAAATAGGTCATACAGTTCTAAATTTATTGAATGCTTCAGTACAATTGAATAGTTCCAAAATGCTTTCATAATATCACAAGAATTTTTTCCATCGACAGCACAATCACTATATAAACTAAACCTTTAAGAAATAAATTCAGCACTGGATAAATATACCTCTGGTATATAAAATTCCGAGTCATTCCTTAATAAATAGCGGAAAACTTTCATAGAGCGTGCTTCACGTTTGTAATCACATTCCAATTTCAGTTCTTGTCTAATGGCCTTAAAATTTTTGCAATGTGGACGAAGAAAATATACAGTAGCTCATCTTGAAGAAAAATGCAATGCACGAAGTAATGTTGATACATTAGCTAAGTTAAAAATTCTTACATCTGCAAAGTTTTGTAAGAATAATCCTCGAGGTAAAAAATTTGTATAATTCATAATATTGATTAAATTATCAATGTCAGAATCGATTCCATGGGCAACACCAGGATATTGGATTTTTATGGCAACCTTGCGACCATCAAGAAGAGTAGCACGATGGACCTTTAAAAAAAACATGAAAATCAAAAAATATCCACTCTATCTATTTCCAAACTAAATAAGACCTTTGTCATTCATATATTTATAATTATTTATAATTCATCAGATAAAACCTGCTAATCTACCAAGTCACAAAATACTGGAAAAACAGATAAAAAGTTCATGAAAAGAAAAATTTTAACTTGGCCGATTGAAGCTGCAGCAAAAGGCTTTTCGTCAAAGTTTGTAAAGTTTTCAGCCCAGTTTTTACCGAAGTTATTGCGCATCTGAGTTATAACTTGACGTATAGGCATAAAATCAGCACTGTCACGAACTCGCTCAAATATTTTAAGCAGAACGGGAGATACAGTTTCTGGATCTATAAAGAAAGATGATTAATTATTAAGGGATGCAAAGAATTTTCGAAAAAACTGAATGCGAAACTCAAGAAAAACCTTGCATGCTCAGCATTTGACCAAGTTTAAGAGCTGCACCACGAACTTTACAAAGAGTTAGTACAATTTTTTCTGCGTTAGCAGGAGTGACAAAAGAACTTTGCCATGAGTTTGATGAATTTTCAGTTTTGTTTTCTTCCTACAATATAAATTTCCTTCATACAAAAGCAAAAATAATTTTGAAATGGAAAAATAGAACATTTAATTTAATTTATAAAAACTTGTAAAACTTGTAAAACGCCCGAAAAACTTCGTCTAATCATTTCAGCAGCGGCGCCTGTCGCTAATCCGAAACCCAACTGAGCAAAACTGGCTAAACGTGCAATACGTGAAGTTGGAACACGACGTTCTCGATTTTTATGCTCTAGAGAGTTCATTTCCGGAATGATAATTGTGTAATTCTAAACACAATAGTTTAAAGAAAACAATAGTATGGCAGAAAGAATAAATAACAAAATACTAGATGACTGGAGCAAATCTTATTTCCAATCCCACAGAAAAGTGATAGGACAATTGTGGTTAACTAGACGATTCTGCAAAAAGTTTTCCACGAAAATGATAAATAAAAAAAGTATGAAAGAAAAAACCACTCACTTCGGGTAATTTTGGCTGATAAATGATCTGTTTCGGCTTATCTATAGCATCGATTTTCCTACAAGGATTTATATTAGAGAAAAAAATTCCGCAAAATCAAAGATGGAAAATTTAAGTTAATTTTATAAACTGCTTCAAAGGAATGGAAAATTTATGAACGAAAACATACTTATTCCAAGAAAATCATATTTTAACAAAAAAATATCGATTCGACGATTATAATAAACGATTTAATTAAATGCTAAGCCAATCAAATAAGAGACTACCTGGCCAATGATAACTGCATTGAATGGTTAATATCCAGTTTATCACGATAAATTTTCATTTCATCCTAGAAGAACTGGTATAAAAATGTTGAAATAATTATTAAGTTTAAATATTAAGTTGAAATAATTATTTTAAAAAATCAACGAAACCAATGAATAAATTTATTTAACCCCAGTGCGCGCATCGCTTAAAAAGCAACTTTCTTAAAAACTTTTGGTAAATCATAAAATTCTAATAAAATTTCTTAATCTTAGTTGTCTTAGAATAACTTCACTCTATTTTTTTCAAAAAAAATTTTGAAAAAAATTTTTCCTAAGCGGTCGCTTCAAAAAAATATTCTCGATTTATTTTCGCGAACTTATTATTCATTTCTGATCACAACTCAGTTAAGCCTAAGCCCTCTTAAACTTTTAATTTTTTTACCAAATAACGATTAAAATAAAATAATTAAAATTAAACCAATTAAATTAAATAAATTATTAATCAGATCAATTAAATTGTATAAATAATATATATATGTTTCATATTCATATATATTTTTAAATTTATTTGCCTTTTTATTTTTTTATTTTTTTTAAAATTTCATTATCGAACTTATTTTTTTTAAATTTAATTTTATTTGTCTTTGGCAGGACTAAACCTGCCATTATGTCAAAAATCCGGATGGCTGCTATGAACCCATCTGTACCTCTATCCCCGAGTAACTCTGTGGTGAAGGGGTCTGATATTTTTGATACAGCGTCCGCGTCTCCCGACTCGCATGATATTCCCAGCCCGGCAGCATATGCGATAAGCACACAATCCGAGCTTAAAGCGATCCCAAGGCTGATAAATAAAATGTGCTCGCAAGCCAGGGTTACTGCTCGAAACCTATCAAGGGATACAGCTCTCTGCACACGTGGCGATTTAACCGTATTAGAGTGGAACGTCAGAACGCTTATGGATATGGATGTTGCGAGCCAAGCGATCACTGTTCACACCACCCTTTCTGAATATCATGTGGATATCGCCTGCTTGTTGGAGGTTCGCCTTCCTTATTTCGGGCCTCAGGTAATTATTAATCCTGGCTTAGAGCAGAGATACTGGCTATACCACTGTGGTGATTCGGGGAGAAATGGCGCAGCGATTGTCATATCTGACGAAGCCCATCCCGCTTTGATTGAGTGGAAACCGGAAAGCGACCGTATGGCCTATACACTTTTTGAGCTGCAATATTTCGATCATCAGTGTCTACGCTCCAACTCTGTCGGCAGATGACCGTGATAAAGATAAGTTCTATGCGGAACTTCAACTGCTAACAAAGTCTCTACCAAAACATGATATGGTTATAGTTGGGAGAAACTTGAATGCACGCGTAGGTCAAAATGCCACTTCGATGACCTCTACAATTGGCAAATATGGCGTCGGAGACCGAAGCACCAATGAGGAATGCCTTCTTCCTTATGCCGAAGAGCATGAATTTTTTATTATTAATACTTGCTTCCGGCAGAAACATCGTAGAAAACATTTAGCCACGTGGAACTCCCTGGATAACCAACACTGAAACCAGATTGATTATATCTTAGTCAGTCACCGTTGGAAGAGTTCTGTACTATATAGTCGTTCCTAACGCGACGACGAAAAGGGCAATCTTCATGGATCTGATCATATTATGGTTCCAAGATCCGCAAAAACTGACAACTAGCAACTCGCAGAAAAACAGCATCCCCCAAGATCCTTCACTGTCTAAAACTAAAAAATTAGGGGATAGTGAACGCAATTCAAAGAGAATTATTGAAGCATCTCAATGATACAAATATTAATAATTTTTCTGGAACGGGAAATGAATATTGGTCCAAACTAAAGGAATGTCTCCGAAAATTAGCCACTTTCACGCTAGGGCATACTAGTAGGAAGTGCGCTAGTTGGGTATCGGAAGCAACTGCCTAATTGTCTGAAAAACCTGCCAAAGCATGAATGTTAAATGATCCTGACTACCGAGTGCTTCGAAGAATTGCAACAAAAGCAGCACGGCAGAAATCATTATTGAAGTGACATGACCTCTAACCTCAAGAATGGAGGCTACGGCTCGATTAGGCGACAATGGGAAACTATTCCGCCTTCTTCATAAAGCAACTATAATTTAGAGAAACGATTAGTGACAGCAATGGCGTACTAATCAAAAATATTAAGGATCGCTTCATAAGATGGAAAGAATTCTTTGAGACCAAACTTAACCATGAAACGCCATCTGTTGCCTCTGATATAGCTGATACGTTTGATGTATACGCTTGCAATTGCAAACCCTCGACAGAAGAAATAATATATCTGTTATCCATAAGCTTAAGGCCAATAAGGCTCTCGGAGGAGATGGTCTTCGGGCTGAACTCTTTAAATACTGTCCATCGTCCTTCATAACGCACCTTCAATGTACTCTTTAGTATGGAAAGAAGAAATATTACCAGATGATTGGAGCAAAGCAATTCTGCTCCCAAGAAAAGTGATAGGACATACTGCGACAATTATCGAGGAATCATCTACTAGACATTTTAGTAAAATTTTTATTTCCCTTTTACTCAACAGATTTATGGAAGTACGGGACAACAGGATGCGCCCTAATCAAGTTGCATTCATACCAGGGCATGATTGTGCTGACCAGATATTCACGTTAAGAAAGGTGTAAATGAACATCGCTTCAGATATTTGCAACCCACTATCACGTGTTTCATCAACTTTGCAGCTGTCTTTGATTCAATTGATATAAAGGCGCTTTGGAGGGTAATGGAATACGATGGTGTTCCAGAGAAAATCATTCGACTCGTAAAGGCATTTTATTTACGTCAGCGCGTCTGTATATATGGGGAACTGACAAACTCCTTCGAAAGAATAGGTGTCCATCACGGTTGCGTCCTTTTCCCCACAATATTTAACTATGCGATAGACTGGATCATGGAAACCGCTTGTCGGCACTCAAGAGGTATCCAGAGCATCACATCATAGATCTTGAATACGCTGATGATGTAGTCCTTTTTGCTGACAGTTATAACGAAATGCAATTATTACCAAATAACGTGTATGTGCAAGAAGCTGATAAAATGCCTCTTTTTTGTAAATTCATTGCCGGTTGAGGAAATGCCCGATTTTAAATACATCTTGGGTCCACTCTAATATCAAATGGACAGGCAAAAGATGATATTATAACTCGGATCACGGCAGCTAGAAATGCGTTCTTCCGGTTGACGAAACCTTTATGGAATCGTCGTGAAATCACCATAAAAACGAAAGTCCGCAGATAGACGTCAAAAGCGAGGTGGGCCAACAAAATCTGGACTGATACGGTCAGGAAAGATTTTGAACGTATAGGTGGACAATATATGGATGGAAAAATAGATGGAAAAATGAATGGTTTCTACTACTGTCGACGATGCATCAGACCGTGCTGTTTGGAAGCGTCTTACCCTTGTAGCCGCTATAGCCAACCTAATCAGTAATGGTGAGAACTGTCAGAAGAAGAAAAAGTGCACCATATTACCAGTTAAGTACTAGTGATTATTAATGATTAAATTAAAAAAAGTCAAAAAAAATATTCCCACAGAAATTCTACAATTTCTATAGTAATTATAATATTTTTTTTATCACTAACTTCACTATTTTTATACATATCTTCGTCCGAAAATACTTCCGTTGAAATAATCTGACCTGCAGTCCCTAAAAAAATTAAACATGTGAACTTTGTCATCAAAACCTTTGATATAAAATTTTCCATTCGATGTAATGGCCATATTTTTCTGTTTTTTAAAAAATCTTAATCCTTCACTTAAAATTTTTTGTCTGAGACCAAGTTTTCCCTATTTCAAACCTTTTTTAAATTTTTTACGCAATCTGAAAAAGTTTTAATCAATATCATATCAATGCTTACAAACATTAATTGCAAACAATTGTTTCAAAAATTATTTTGAAAATTATCATCATAAAAATTGAAAATCTTGGATTCTTTCAAGATCACTCTTACCTGGAGGAATTCCCTTCGCGAATAGTTTCACGTAAGTTTTAAGACCAATAGCGATTACTTCAGCTCGCTCAATAAGATCTTTGAGTGGAAAAGGCAACTGACTTCCATACATATCCGATGGCAATGATGACTGTTGACTGGCTGACAATGGGTCAATTACATTACCGCCACCAACGACTATTTTGACAAATTTTTTACGACAACTGTAAAAATTTACTTTTTAATTAAGCAGTTCTTTGCACAACAACCCTATAAATAAATATTTCGCTACTATGAATAAAATCGTTTGGAAAGAATTCTCAGTAGAACTTTAAACAAAACGATGAAAAATATCGAAAAAATTACGCGATTAACAGAAAAACAAATCTCATCGCTAATCGCTTATTCAAGATATACATGAAAAATAAACCTTTTGGCAGTCTGCTGCAGTTCATAGTTCAACATGTTACCGAGAAGTAACTGAATTCCTTTAGCAACACCTAGTAGTTCATCACAAAATCGCCAAGCGTGCTTCATTAATGAATTAATCCAATCTAAAAATTCACATAATACTGATGGATATTGGCATATTAATTTAATGAACCGTCTTTAAACTTTCCAACCCAGATGCGCTCATTGATGTCATTTCAAAAACCATTTCCCCTTAACGCTCCCCCCTTATAAACATCAAATCTCCACTGTCTCTCACCTTCAATATTCCCAGTCCAACCATATTTTACCTTTTCGAATTTTATAATACACCAGTCTTATAAATGCATAAGCTTCAACAACGTATTTACTAAACGAGACGGTGAGAAATTTTCCACAAAATATAAAAAGTTCTTAGAATGTTGAAAATCTGATTTCAATGAGACTTAACAAATGAAGCTACGAACGGGATCTTCTTCTTATTACATACAAATATCTAAAATAAAACTTTAATTTTATTTTTATTTTATTTTTTTATTTTAATTTGCCAAATTGTAATTTTTTCCAGTTTTTTTAGTTAAAACTTTTCAGTTAATTTCAATTATAAATAATTTCGAAATACTAAAGACTTCAAACCTCAAAAAAATCATTCAAAGACCGGAACTTTAAATTCCAACGAAAAAAAAGTCCTAAATAAAGTATCAATATAGATAAGGTTAAAATTAAATAATTAAATAAACATGAAGATTTGGATTTTTGAGGATTCTAATTGAAATTAAATATTCAATATTCAATAAAGCATACTTTCAATTTTAATTTTGATAAAGATATTCTATAATTCTTAAATATATATTTATTTATATATATTTATATATATTTATATATTTATTAAATATATATTTATATATTTTATAATAATAGAGAATTATAATATTTTATAATATTCTCAAAAAAAATAAGATTTATAAGATTTTAAGAGATATAATATAATCCAGCGTCTAGCAAACGGTTGAGTCGAAAGCCAATAATTTTCAAATAACTACATTTATTCTTCACGAAATGTAACAGTGCTAATGAAAAAATGATAAGAATAAAGAAATATAAGATAAAATAAAATGATAAGAATAAAGAATAGAATATAAAAAATATGGAAAAAATATGCAAAAAAATTATAAAAATGGTCCAATAATTAGAGCTCTTTCTAAGAATTATTCGCCACAGGAGATCGCATTAGCTTTGAAAAGCATAATTGAATTATACAGTGTTTATTTTTTTATCAATACTATCAAGAATACATTTGAACTGCTCATACTGGTCTATGGAGAGGCTGATCCCTTTTTTACCAGGTTTCATTTGACCGCTTCCCTAAAATATTAATTTTGATAATTTGAGAAAAATTTGAGAGTATATTTAATTTGAGAGTATATTTAAATACAGAAATTAATATATTGTCCTTAATAGCAATAAATAGCAACAAATAATAACCTTGTCATTATAATATTCCCGTATATCAATAAATGTTTTACCCTTAAATGACCGCACGCAAACAAAACGCATTTTGCCGAGTTCAAACATCTAAAATAATATTATTCTATCTTGTATAAATAATATCATAATGATTCATAATCCATAATGATTTATTAAACTTAGAATAAATTATGTACTGATAAATGGATTAATAAAGTGATAATCTAATAATAATAAAGTAGGCCAAAAAGGTCACGCATAAGACAAATCTTAAACGAGTGGGCTTTTTCCGGCCACCAAATCCATAACAAATCAATATGATCCTCCCTACTCCTCTTTTACTAATTTCATAATTTTTTAACCAATTACCAAAAAACACAAACACTGATATTTTGAATGAAATGTTCCAAAAGATAAACTATACAAATATCCAACAAATGCAAAATTTTTTAAAAACTCTTTACCAATCAACTAAAGCTGTGTTTCTCAATGTGAAATCTGACAAGCCAGGAAACAGCCGACTGTTTTTTGTTTTTTAAAATATAATTTGTTAAAATGGTAAATAGTACCCACTCAGTAAAAAAACAGATATCCTAGAAGTGCGAATCACAAAATATGAATGAAATCTAATATAAAAATAAAATTTGAAATGAAGTTTTCGAAATGAAACAGATAGTAATGTTGAGCATAATAGTGTTTCTTAATTTTGTTTGTTCCATGACTTCCCTCAAATTCAATCAGTTCTATGGCCCTCCTTATTCAGAAAATTTCAGAAAATTCTATCATTGGTGAATAACAAGTAGAGACTGGATTGAAACTCAAGAGAACTATATACTATAAAAGTCTGAAAATGTTTTTCTTTTAAAATCAAATACAGTTCTTTGAAAAAAAATCACTTCAATTTGAAAAAAATTTTAAATAAAACCCAAAACTAGACACTGAATTATAAAATAGAAAATATTTCACGAAATTGCATTCTGGATTTGGATCAATCGCGCTTAAATTTAAACTGATCAACAGATCCGTATAGTACTCAGTAACTGCAAAAGGCCTGTGGAGCGAAAAAGTTTGGGAAACACTGAGCTAAAAGAATCGAATTTTTAGGATCTAATCATTAAGATCGGTAACAAAAATACTTACTTCGTTCCCATCAAAGTTCTTTATAGAAGAAGCTGCACAGCGCTTAGTTTTTTTGGCCGGCATTTTATCAATAACACTTTCGTCTGAAGAACTTTCATCCTTAAAGGTCCAAAGATAAATCACGAATTTAAAAAGACTTAATTAGTTATTTAGAATAAGAACGGAAGAACCTTTTTACGTTTTAGACTCTTTTCATTCTTTTTAGTTTCCATCAATTCATCCTCGAATGAGTTATCGGAATTCGATGAATCTGACATCCTAATAAAAAAAAATAGTTGCATTATAAATGGTTAAAATTGAATATCGTTCTGTAATGATTTTCTTCCAGAACCCATTCGCTTTGTAGGAAGCATCCAACGAAGGGTCACAGGTCACAGGAACGCTCCTCCTTTCCTCCAGTCTCCAGTTCATTTCCTTTTGCGATTTTCATTCCCCTCACTCCTTCCGCATGGCCACCGCCCTACTTATTTCCAATAAACGAAAGCGAGTGGAATTTCCCTCGCACCTCAGATGAAAATCGCAAAAAACCTCGCGCAAAAGGGGAACAAAACAAAAACCGAATAACACATAACGCACGGCATAACAGAAAAATAAAGTCAAAACATCAAATTAAAATCTCGCCAAAATAAAAATTCGAATTTCAACGCCACCGTATCCTTGCTTTCGTTACAAGATTAAGAATACTATGCTATGTTTGTCGGTCTTTCATCTGCGATGACTTTATTAAAAGGTCGTAACATTATGGCAGATAGGCAAAGGTTAAAGGTTAAATGTGCGGTTAACCGTCATGGCGACTAATAGATTTGCGACCAGTTCATAAGTGTCTTGAATTCTCTTAGGCGTATCTTTGAGCATATTTATTCCGATTTATTTGTTCGATTTTAAATGAATTATATAAGTGGATAAGTCTAATCTCCATACTTTATTACTTTTGTTTAAAATCAATTAGAGCAACGCGATTGACACGCCATTAGCGTGGATAAATGTGCTTATTATATAAGTAAGTAAGTAGGTAAGTGGATTAGCGCAAAGCAAGTAAATCAGCAGTAAATCGGTTTGCGAGTCGGCAAATGCATTGTGCTTTGTGTTTTAATCATCTCCGGTTTAGGCGCGAATGTCGCACTGAAATATTTTCATAAATAGTTTGTTTTGCATATTTTAAAATGCATTTTATGTATAAAAGAAGAAAAGTTGCTATATTTTAAGTGAAAAAAGCTCTGAATGAATGTTAAATCCACTGGAATGTGAAAAAGAAACAGAAAAATGAATGGGAAATTCAGAACAATGAAAGAACGAATAAATCAACTTTAAGTGATTGATTAGCTTTGTTATCAATCTTTTTTCGGTGATTTTTAGGAAATTTGAGAATAAAATTTATCTTCTTTGTTCTCTCTATTTTCATATTTATAATACCATTTCTCATTCATTTATCGACTATGATAATGATAACGATAATGTTTTAACACCTGCGTGCTACTAATAAATTGCTTATTCATTCCTTGAAATGATGCTTCGAATTGCTTAACTTACTTTATTCTCCAATAAGTCTTGTTTTTTTTAGAAAATTTCTCCAACAATTTAATAAATTCACCGAAATTCAAGCGGTGATATAGTGCGAATTATTAATGCTAATTATCAAAATAAATGTAAAATAAAATGATTTTATTTAAGCAAAAAAATCGAAGTTCAAAATTTTCAAAATTTATTAAAATTGAGACATTGAGCTGAAATGATTGTCTTTTTCCTGCAGTTCTTTACTATTGTTAATGAAGACAAAGCAATGAGTTTTGGTATAATTCCGAGAAGTTTCTGCTGTCAGCAGGAGTAATCCTGCTATTTCGAAAATTCTGCTGTCGATAGATAACCTTCTATCCCCCTCCCCCCTCGTGATTCCCTTAAAAAATTGACTCAGCCTACTAATAACAATGAGCAGAATGAAGAAATGTTGGATGTTAACCACTTACTTTCTAATGAATTTCTAGAAATTCGTCTTTTAATAAGAGATTATTCAATAAGCGAAATGCTTCCAGTCAAACAGGTTTGTAGAAAAAATTCTCTCTTTTAAGTTAAAGCCAAGTTAAGTTATAAAGCCAAAAATATTTTTTGAAAAATAGAACCAAACGATGTTAAAATGTTGCGAATCATGCCAGTTGCCATCTATTTTGCGATATTATTCATTTTCCTCTCCTTCTTACAGCACTTACAGCATTTTCGTTTTACTAAACACTAAGATGCGAGCATTTAATCGGCGAATCGAAGCATCCAACCACTCAGATTATTAAATACTCTTAAAAAAACTTAAAAAAAGCCAACTTCGGCAAAAATCTTCTTCAGCCGCAACTAAATCTTCCACAGCTATTTCCTTTTGCTCTTGTTCAATTGCGAAGCCCTTCCTTTATGGAATTCTTTCAACTGAAAAAGTTTTTTCGATTCTAGCAAATGATTTGCCTCTTTCACAGCGAAAAAATATTGCGCATGGAAAGAATGCCATCGATGATCAACTTTTATTTTTAAAAATCGAAAAAAAGATGACTTTAATAATTTAACAAAATGAAATTAAGAAAGAAATCGCGAAAAATCGAAACGAAAATTAAGACAAAATCATTGGCAATTTAGGAAGCAAAAAGTTTGCGACCGAGATAAAAAAAACAGAAAACGAAGCTTTGAAGGCAAAAAAATTTTTGCGTGACGGAATTTCAACAAAAAGTCTTCAGGATTTATAAGGCTTATAAGAGCATTTTACAATGGAATCAACAGTGAAATTAAAATTTATCTTAGCAAAAAGAGAAAAAATAACGAAAAAAACTCCTCTACGGCATTGCTGCTGCATCGCGCAAAATCGCAGAACTCATACTTAAAAAATGATCTGAAATTCACAAGAGGAACGCAGAAAATAAAATTTTAAAGTTTTCAATAAAGCAATTATAAAAACAACTCTATTCGAAGGGGAAAAACTGGAAGAGATATTCGATAAAGCAATAAAATAAGGCACCTTAATATATATATATATGAAGCCAAATGTCAAATAATAAAGTAATCATAAGAAATCAAAAAAAGTATTCGAAAAAATTTTAAAAATTTTCTCTAAAAATTCTTTTATAGCCAATTGTATTGCATTATTGCAAAAATTTCCGCAAATTTTCTTAAGCCATATGAGAAAAAAATTTCAATTTCGAAAAAGAACTTTCTTAAAAAAATGGCACATAAAAGATATGGAAACAGGCTAAATGGAACCAAAGAAACTGGATATTTTCAAGCCATTCCAACCTGAAAGGCAAAAAGATCTTCTTGCTCTCAATTTATCTTCAAATAATTGTTCAGTGAAACTTTTTCTACTCCATTAAGTTTATCCTATGTTCGCCCTTTGCTCGTTAAATTCCAGAAATTTTCAGGAAATTTTAAAAGTCTAAAGTTCCTAACATTCTTTATCTTGCCTGTCGATCCATTTATTTGGTTGATGGTTATTATTATATTCTATTGTCATTGATATTTGCAGAGATTGTTGTTGCGTAATGATGATTTTTAAAAATGTCAAATAGAATATTGTAAAAATAATATGGAGGCATGATGATCTAATCACTCGTTTCTATGAAAAGAAATAATGCGTGCTGCATGTTTCGCTTATTCTAACAATTATATAAACAAAAATTTCGGATCAAATAACCACCGCCAGTCTAAATGTAATGGAAAAAAATTGAAAATTAATTTACAAAAAAATCAAAAAATCGAACGAAATTTGGTCAATTTCATTATTTTTTAACTATTATTTTCTTTAAGTACTGCAAAAAATCATTTTTTTTAAATTTCAAAAATTTGAATTTTGAATTTACAAATAAATTAGAAAAATGCAATAAAAGATAAACAATAGCGATGTTAAGAATTGAAAAATGCAAAAACGATTATTCGATTTTGTAGAAAACAGATTCGAGTTGTGAATAAACTTTACGACTTTGCATATGCCATTGTTTATCGAAACTCGTACAAGATTCCAGTAAAGATCCAGCCATAGTGCTTATTCGTTCCATTAATTGTTGCGTGTTTCTTAATTCAAGTCGTGTCAACTCAAGTGTTTGCTCGAGTTCTTTAATTTTCTGACGATTATTTTCACATTGTTCACAATGATTTGTCGTATTAGAAGCAGTTGGTTCTTCTGTTAATTGATTAGGTTCAAATAATTGTTCCGGTAAGTTTGCGTTGTCCCTGAATAAGAAATACTATTATAATATTATAAAATGATATTATCCGAATTGTGGAGTTAATGCTTCCTTGGTGTGGTCCGTTTAAAATATTTTCAATCGAAAAAGTACCAATTGTTTATAAGTAAGTCTTCATTTTCTTCAACCTTCATTCGTTCCGCATTATTGTCATTTGATATTTGCATAAATTCGTTACAGCTATGTTCAAATTCCTAAAAAGGAAACAAAATATTTCATCATTGAAATTAATTTTTATATCACATTCATATAAAAAAAACTTTTCACTCCCTTATGGGTGTCATGACCATACTCAACTTCAGGTCCTCTACCAGAGGATTGAGTGCTCTGCGTATTATTTTAGCTATTCCTAATAGTGCGCTCTTCTGGATAGAAATCTCTGACATTATTCCTGGAATCTGCTGATCTGCATTTTTCTAGTCTAGGAATCACAATTCACAGTAAATATGTGTATATATATTTATATTTAAATAATCGCTTACATTTTTGTCAATAGCTTCTGATGTCGAATTAGATTGGTTTCTGCCTATGAGATTGGAATGAACGCAATTTACGTGGATTGTATATTGAGACTGTGACTGGAAAACTTTGAAACACAAATAGCAGAAAAAACGCGGTCGTTGCAGGTTATCATTAGTTGGGTTTAGCATAAAAGTTTGGGCAATATTTTGTAATGTAAGTGCTTGAAGGAATGGATTCGCAGTATGGATATTTTGTTGAATGGCAGCTAATGCGCGTTGCTGTTGTTGTTGTTGCTGTTGAATGGCAAAAGCTTGAGCCAACTGAAATCAAAACTGAAATTGTTAAAGTATTTCTTTAAAATCAAAAACTTAAAAGTTGAAATAAATAAATCATAAATATCACAATCAGATTTTTACAAAAGCCGAGCACCGTTTAGCACCGTTAGCACCGTTCTTGTTAAATAATATTGAAATAATATTAAAATAATATTGATGAGTTGAAAGAATATAACAGGATATATCCAGAGCAATGCTGGCGATTCATCTGTACTTCTATTACCAAGTGACAAAACAGTCTAGACCGACTAACCAGAGGGCCAACCAGGAATGACGAGTAAGAGAAAGAAAACAAGCCATGTCAAGTCTCTTCAAGCAATAATACATTACAATATTAAATTTTTTTCGCGAAACATGTACTATGATAAGCGGTAAACGAAGGACATCTAACTGTGTACTAATTTCTTTGTCGCGATTTCTTTGAATTTTCCCATTGAAAAATTTCCTCAAAATTTACTCCAATAAAAGGTAATTTAAATCAATAGTGAAATTTAAATCAAGAATACAAGAATTATTATTGTATTCCTGCTTATTAGCTAAGCAATATTAATGTTGATGCGAAATCATAGCCAACTCGTTTTAACCATTTTTCTTTAAAACCCGAAAACCCTAATAAACGGCTAAGTGAAATGATTGCAGTTTAAAAAAAGGGAAATTCTCATTCGAAATAATATTCGATATTGCAAGAAAAGCGATCTAATTCATGCATAGTCAGCACAACTGCTTTACAGCAATCATTTCTTTCAAAATAAACAGACGAATTGAAGTTGCTTAAATATTTGGGGAAATTGTCTGCAATCAAAAATCTATTATAAAATTAATATATCATTTGGCCTTTGATACCGATTAAACTTTGCTTTGTTCTCAATAAGCCATCCAAGTTTAGTAGAATCTTTTCTTTAATGAGATGTATTGATATTTTTTTTTTTAACCATTAAAAATTTTGAGCGCCAGGCTAGAAGCTTAGCGATATGTGGACTTAGAAAGTGGAAAAAAGACTTTTCTTGCTTTCAGGTGTGATGCTAGATGATGTTTAGAGAAATGTCTCAACTTTTTTACTTAAATCCTTACCAATGTCTACAAAAGCAACCCTTGTGATGCAAGCATAGATATATTTTTCGAAAAATAATAAAATTTTCTAAAATTTTATTAGCTCACCTTGTTTATGTCGTCATTCGTAATTTGTGCTGGTAGGACAGAAGTAGGAGTAGATTGATGATTTGGAGAATTCGTTTTTGAACTATTCTCGCACGTTTTCGAGCCATTGCTATTAATAGGAGTATTTATACGAGTATTTGAACCACTTCTAAATTCGAATAGCCCTATTAAAAAAGTCAACCATCAAAGAAACGTGTGCAGTTGATTGACACTGATAATAATCAGTGATAAATGGAAATTAGTTCAAATCAACGATAGTATTTTTTCTTTTTATCATTTTACTAAATCCCAATTTCGGCCTTCCACATTCGAAAATCGTGGCGTAATAAAACTTACCTAGCCAGAAAGAATATTCCTAAATACTACTGAATACCGTCATATCTTTATTGACTTGTTAAAATTAAATTAAAATTAAATTAAAAATAAAGATTAATCAAATACTTTCTAACCTATTATTTTTGCATTTAAGTATATGTTCATCTCGTTGTATTTGTTTAAGGAATGATCGACCGCATTTTTCACAAGAGAAGCTTCGTTCAGCATGAATTTTCATATGACGATTGAGATCGAATTTGAAGATGAAAGTTTTAAAACACAAATGACATACGTGTGGACGTCCACCGTCATGGATCATTAAATGTTGTGTGAGATGACCTTTCTGGAACAGTATTTCAAATAAGTGGTTCATCATTAGGCTAGCTCAGCTGGCTATTAATATGATTAAAAAATTTTGCGAGGGACCCATTTTGCGATAGAAGTACAAGTTGGAGCATCCGAATTTTTTAACAATAATTTTTGCCTGGATCCAAATCTTCTCTTCCTAAAGCGATAATTTGAACCAACCATTACCAAGTCATTTCCCTTTTTTTAAATAGAAAAAAATATTCAAAATTTTCCAATGTTCCATATTTTAAAAATTTCGATATGGGACTATAATGACAATAACTGAATGTTAAACCTCATAGATAATTTGTCGCAAAAGGTACCAAAGGTATATTTTGAAACGTATCGATGAGCCTATAAGAGAACTTAAAGGCAAGAATATAAAATATGGAAATAACCTGATAAAATGCTTTGGCACAATATTTACAGACGTGAGACCGTTGTCCACTATGCCACATCGTATGTTTCTTTAAGAGTTGTCTCGTACCGAATTCTTTCTTGCAAATTTTGCATTTATGTGGTTGTTCACCACTATGTGTTCTCTGATGAGTGCTTAGTTCGCGCTTAACAGCAAACACTTGATTACATTTCTCGCATTCGTAATGCGGTTTATCATGATGTGTGTGTTTATAATGAATATTCATCTAAAATTTATTATTATTAATTTGCATTCAAAATTCAGCTCTAAAAATTTTTAATAATATGCTGCCACTTGAGGCGGGAGAGACGAGAGACGAGTAGACGAGTAGACGAGTGGCCACTGCCAGATTATCGTTTCAAGGCTTAAGGCTCGTACATGCGCTGGAATAAATATCCACCAAAAAATCCGGCCGATGCCGGCGGCACGTCTATATTACTAAGTGACTCGCTGAAAATTTCCCACCCTATTAGCAGTAAGCGGTGTGAAGCGAGTCTAACCAGAAATTGTAAGCTTCAGCAACTTTTTATATCCCTCATTTATGGCTAAGAACTTTTTATGTGTCAATGATTAAGAGCTAAACAGATTGCCATTCCCAAAGAATGATCATTCGCCCTTGGGAACTAATCTCATTAGTTCTTACGACAACTGACTTTTAATTGATGCAACCAAAAATTTTGTTTGCAATTGATCACCCTCATAAAAATGGTACAAATATTACAGAATTTAACCTGAGAAAGTTCTTCAAAAGTTCTTGGACAAAAGCGACATGTGAATTTGTCACTTTCGTCATTATTCGACACTGAATTCACGCTACAATCTAGCGCTTCCATATTTTCATCATGCGGTGAAAGATTTGAACTACTTGCTGAACTTTCTTCCGTTTCTCCATCCTGAAGTCATTTCGATAAAAAAGATGAAAAAAGTAGGTCTAACCGATTTTAATAAGAAAAAAGCCTTGCTTGTTCCGTGGATGCATTAATGCTCTCATCACTATGAATAAACTGGTTGGTACCATTCGTTGCCTTGGTGCAATCACCTGATATTTCAGTACCAGTCACTTCCATATAATGTTCTTTAATATGTGCATCTAGTTCTTGCAGTGTTGTAAAGAATTTCGCACATTCATTGCATACATAACAGGTGGACATTTTTCCTGAAAATCAATTACGGATGGGTTATAGGTCATTACAGATGGAGAAAGCGCTGAACTATTCGAATCGAGCGCTGAAATTTTTTTCTACTCTATTCTTCTATAATGATGAAAGATTGATTGTTTATTGTACAGTCATTTTTCTTTTCTATAAATCACCAAATTTTTGAAATTTGGTTGAAATTTGGTGATTTATAGAGAAAACAAATTTGCTAATAGCACCATCTAATCCTCCCACATTTCCATTCAAGTTGATCTTTGAAATCTGATATTTGGAATTTTATATAAAATAAATGGAAATACTGGGTCCTAAAGTTCTATCGGATTTGCGTCGTGTTAAGTAATTAAGCAGTCAGTACAAATTAATTCTGACTAGGCTAACTCCTCTCATTATTTTTTTTAAAGAGTCCTCACCGTTACTGGTTAAACTCGATCCCCTGGCTTATCGCATTGGGCGAATGCCACGGAGAATATGCCTTGGCGATGGAAATACAGGTGAGTCGCCAGCATCTCGTTATTATTATAAGGTTAAAAATCTTAGCCAAGGAGTCAGTTCGGCGATCGATACGATACAGATATGTGCGGGCTCCAACCAGCCTTTTTTAGTGTCACGTGCCGAGCTCTCGCATCGCAGTACGATTATTTCAGTCCAATTCCACTCGGCTATCCTCTCTAACGCACTAAGTGAGCCGAATTTTCAATAATGTGTAAAAGTTCCTCGAAAATATTTCTCGAAATGAAATCCGAGTAGTTCATTATAAATTTAATTCCAAGTCAATGAAATCCCAAAGAAATGTAATTTTGATTTAAATAAATACAGAAAAATAAAACTGAGAAATATTAAATGAACGATTTAGTTTGACCATAGATTAATGAAAAATGAATCGGAAATGAAAAGTTTTCGAGGTTTCGAGGTGTAAGAGAAATTTAGATTTAGTGAGAAAAAGAGAAGCTTGAAAAGCATGAAGAAGAGGACTGAACAATTTTAAAAAGGCTTATAAACAAACGGACGCTTAACATGAGGCACAATAAATATAAATACTCAGTAATGATGAAAGACTCACTCACTCACTTACTGACTGACTGACTGGCTGACTGACTGACTGACTGAACGAATAAATGAATGAATGAATGGATGAAAGGATGACTGAATGACTTATAGATCAACTTCTCATGCTTAAGACTGCTTACAAACGAGCTACTTTTTTGTTACATTGTAGTTAAACCATTCATTTATTCCGTGTAAAATATAGCACGTAAATAGAATTCTGGATCGTACGATATCCCCAAAATCTTTTATCTTGCATGAAATTCAGAATATCTACAGAATTCGCGATTCCAGTTGAAACAAAGTCCTCAATCTCATTGCAGTGCAAAAAATATCGCGAAATTCTCGATGTCATATGAAACACACAATACCACAAAGCTCTCGGCCCTAAACGGAATATAAAGCCCTACATAACTCTGCAAAGAATATAAAAAATTTACGAAATTCTCCTATATGTGCATCCAATTTTTTGAAAAAAAACTTAAGAATTTATTTATAGCAAATTAAAATTTAATGATTATATTAAATATAGCGATTAAAAAATAATGGTTATATTGAAAAAAGTTAAGGAAATAAAAATAATAAAATAAATTTCTGGTAGATCAATTGTTCGCAAAAAAATGAAATTCATTAAAAAATTGTCGAAATTTGCCGCAAGATTCCCGCTTTTCAAGGATTTGGTTTTTTCGGCAACGACGAATATTATCGCCAAGGGGTGAAGGAAATTTTGAAAAAAATTGCAGCAATAAGATGTTAGAATTGCTTGAAAGACTATAGTATAAGATACAAGCACCGAACACATGTGCTTTCCTCAAGGTGGTGATGATTCTCTTCAATTCAAATGCTTATATATATGACGTCTGTTTGTGTACTTGCTATGTGTGCATGTATACGCATTCGTTTATATGTACGTATGTATATGCGAGGAAAATGTTGATCCAAAGATAAAGCAAGAAGAAGATTTTTTAAGAAATTCTTAAGATTTTTTGATTTTCTTAATGATTTCTCTCGATCTCAATGAGAAATTAATCCAACTTGGATAGTTTGTTTAGTACATTTCGTTGAAAAAAAAGTCGAATTTTCTCTTCGAATTGTAAACGATTTTGAGCTATTTTACGCAAAAAAGATCTAAGAGTTCACTATTTATGAATAAACTCACTGGCTTTTAACCTCTTGGAGATTTTTACCACAGAATCACCAAATGGGTCATCTGCATCGCCATCACTATTAAATGGCACCTCCTATCAGAATTTTTACTGCACATCGAGCTAAAAAGTAGCAATTCATGAGTTAATTACATATAAATTTATAAAATTTACTTAATAATTAACATTACAGCACTCAACAATATTAATAGAATAAATTGCCACAACAAATTTATCATAACAAATGGGATTAGCAAAAATTTGGTGAAGCGGTGGGAAGCGAATGAGTTTATCTTGAACAAACATTTCCAACTTGTTGGATGAGAAAAGTCAACGAAAGTGGCATGAGGAAAGAAGCATGACAGTTACTTGTACTTCTGTTTGCTAAAGTATTTTTGCGTTCTGCGATGCGATGCATTTTTTCCGCTTCTATTTTCGACATTATTTTTGCGAATTCTTTTATTAAATTGATTTGAAATTGTAATCATAAATAAATTGCTATTAAATATTAAGTATGGGAAGAAATAAAGATGATTTGGACTGCTGGAGAAAACACAAGTTGATTTAAATACGAGTAATCATTAATAATATATCGATCTCTATCATTCATGAATGATAAATCAATGTGCAATTTTTATCAAAAGTGTTTGCTCTTGCTCCTAATAATGCTCCTGAAATAACTGAATCACACATTATCCAAGCTTTACGCTGATCTGAAATTTATACTTTTAATTAACCAGATTGCTGATGATAACTGCGAAAAAAGAGCAGCATTCATAAGCAGGCAAATATATGATCACAGTTAATTGCGCGTTGTCATTGTTACAGCATTCTCTGGAAAAGTCAGGTGTTGTAGAAATGAATCAGAATCAAGCGTTTGTTTGCCCTTTGAGCATTCTGCAACTTTTGCTAGAACTTTTCATAAGTACTTCATAGTCAGCTGTTACTACTACGATTGACTTTGATTTAAATTAGTCTTAACATAAATTTTTACTCAGTACTTTCTACTTACTAGTACCTTTGCATTTGTAAAGCCTTCTTTATTAAATAAATCATTTTTTAACTAACCTAACCACTGAAAATTATGCTAATGCTTTGATTAATTAAGTAAACCTCTTCCAAGCTCGTACTATTGGAATGAGGAATTTTTGTCAGAGAAAGATATATAAGTGAGTCGCAACTACCATTCAGATTTTTTTAAATGGAAAGCTTAGCCCTATTGAAATCAATCGGAATCCGAATTAATGGCTCGCAAGATGCCAATTTGAGCAACAACCTGAGCAACCACTCAACTATTTTGCTTCCAATATTTATTGTATATTAAATCGAATAATTTGTCCTATAAAGACCATAAAGATAAATGAATAAAAGAATAAGCGTGACAAGGAAACCTAACCGGAGAGAAAAAAATTTTGCAAAAAATTTTAGCAGTTAACAGAAGTCTTTTTTGAAATATATATTTAACATTAAATTCTTAAAAAAATAGGAATATTTTTCGGAGAAAATTTTCCATCTTTTCTGCGATAATAAAATAGTGATAAGTTAATGGAAAGCACACATCAGTGCTTAAAATACTGGAAAATGCGCAATCGAACTCAATTCATCGCTTTTACTACGGTAATGAATGCGAAAATTTTAGCACACATACGTATATCATCGTTGTCATGCACCGTACAATACGAGTCAGTTATTTTGCGCTTACATTCGTTTCTTTCTTTGTCTCACAACGATAACTTACAGTTTTTCTCGCAAAAACAAAGAGTAAACATCACACATATGGTAGCAATTAATCTCCCTTGAAAGGCACTTAAAGCTCAAACAACTAAAATATGGTGTGCTTGAGCGAAAATCGATAGCTAAACTGATACCAACCGACGGATTTCGGTGCACAATACTGCTTTCTTTGGCGCTGCTAAGTAAAACAAACTATTTTTAAATAAATAACTTTAAATCTGCAACAAGTGATAGCAAAAATTCTTTTTTGCAAATGTTTTGCTACAAAATTTTTTTCTAAAAAATCGCATTTTATTAGAATTTTTCAGAATTTTTTCATGCAATAGCTATTTGCATTTGTCCACCTTAGAATCAAGAAGTTTTATGAGCTCCCAAAGTACCATAGATTGCCCGCCAAGCCTATGGATTTTTAAGATAACAAATGTCAAGCTAATGTGGTCATATGAGACCGGTAGAATCGCCTATTAAAAAAAATTATACGCAAAGAATAAACAAATGCTAATTCTGGAATTCTTTTCTGCTCTAATGTGAAAAATCAGTAATATAGGTACTTTCAAACTAAGCAATTTCTTCTAAGATCGCTCTAGCTTAGCTAGCTAAGCTGGCTACTGGATGATTCCTTCGTTAGAGAACCATTTCAGGTTATAATTATTGAATTATAGATCGATCCTGTTTTTGGATCATACTTGAGAAATGAACTTACCGAATTTTATATAATAATAAAATTTAATAATATAATATATTCTATAATATATAGTAATAAATTTGGCTTATAAAATTATCGCGAAAAAAGTATATTTATAGAGTTTTCTCATCCTATATATTTTATTGTATTGTATATATATGTTGCCTTATTGAAATCTTAGTTGCGATAAAAAAAAGTAAAGATGAACATGTGCTTCGGCAAGCGGTAGAGAGTAGCACGGACATAGCAAAAACTCGTTGTGATGAGACTTTTGTGAGCTCGTGCAACCCAGTGGTAACCTCAGGCATTTCCCATTATTTATTCTCAAGCTAAACTTCATATTCTTGCAAAATAAAGGACCGCACACATCGTTGTTGTATTTTCAA